GAGTCTGCCAAGTGGTCCTGTACAACATCACCAAGTGATTTGGAACCACAAGTGGAAAGGCGTTTCTGCCTATCTCTAGATACCATTACTATATCTGAGAAAAGTTGGAACTTTAGTGCTTTAAGTGCTTGGAGAGGATATCCTGCAATGAGTCCATGCTGCTGAAATATTGAGCAAAACCCTGAAACGCTACCAGCTCCTGGGGCAGTGTACTGCAGCTGACCCTGCACTCTAACCTCCAAGAAGGAACACAAACAAAATGTCTCACATTACATTAACACTGTGTGGCTTTTAGGCTTTTTATAAAGTCATCAAAAGTTCACAAATATCAAACAATCTTCTGACATTTTCCACACGGTGTCTTCTCTAACACAAACACACAGTGTATATTATACACCAATATGTTTCGAATGCCTGGTCCATAGTATGTGGCATTATTTCAAGGAGTACATGACCTAGAAAGATTCTACCACAGGCCCTGTCCTGGTCTGTGTGATCACTGGGTGGCTACATGTGAGTCAGACAGAGGCTGTGTGTTTTTATTGTTCCCTGTGGAGAAAGCAGGTAGCCTGTAGGCTGAAATATTGATAGATAATGATAAATTTATGTGACTGGTGAAAGAGTGAAGCACATCCAAACGGGCGGGTGTCTTCTGATCTCAGTGTTAATGCCCTGTGGCAAACTGGTATTGTTCTCTAGAGAAGCAATGTTAATTAACCTGAGTTTGCATTGTCGTCAATATTTCGTGAAATTAGAGTCCGCTTCAACTTTTGATGTGCTTACAGAATGTATGTTTTCCCAGCATCATCATATGAACTGGCAAAATGCACACTCTCTGTTTTTCCATAGCGGATCCTCTACCACGATAAGGGTGTGGTTGCTTTGGTGTTGAAGACCATGCACTGTTCCTGGTAATTTATTCATAGCTCTGAGGTTTTTGCTGTTTTTTTCATCCATTTTTTATTAAGAAAGAGTAAATCACCAACAGCATGCGGTTTATTCAGTCATGAATAGTGCACGGCATCCTCTGTCTATTTATGCCATACTCTCATGAGTCTGCTTACATAGAAGAGTTGGAGTGGAAAATAGTTTTTGCACACTTTGTTTGATGACAGCGATGACAGATGCGCTCAAGTCCGATTTTACTCTGTCCTAACTAGTGTTCTAAATAGTGCTACTAGTGTTCAGCAGTGGGAAGACTTGATATGTTTTTCTTGTACAGATGGCCCTGGGGTAAGTTGGTAAGGACTTGAGCTGATCCCAGATGCTCCCAAGGTGAAGAAAGGCCATCACGTTTTCCTTCATACCCAGACCTGCCGGATACACAGCTGGCTTCCATCACCGCGTGTTTGTGTGTGTGCATGTGTGTTTTATGCCCATAATAACCACAATGCCAATACATCAGTCCTGTCATAGGCAGCAACCCAATATCCATGGCAGTGGAGCAAACTGCATCACTGCATCATATATCTCATCTCATCTGGGGAATGGGAATAAAATGTCATACAATGGTATTTAAATTATCGTATGGTAATTTATTCCACTCAGAGGAACTGAAGGCAGATGGAACATGAATGCCTTGACAAATCATTTTCTAAAACCCTTCTTTATTGTTTTGATTTAGTTTTTGTTTTTTGTCGCATGCTGCCTGTTCCAGTCACTCTGTGCTGCCCTCCATGAAGCTAATCTTAACTTCAGCTGGGTGGGTGGATGCAGGGGTGAACTATGTAGGCTGGTATTGTAAAGGGTAGGTGGGCGGCAAATGTGGTTAATTTGCTTGTTTTGGGCTTGTGGTTCATTTTGCTGAGCCAAATCCTCTCATTTAGAGGATTATGTTCCCAGGCTTGCAGAGTGTAGGTGGGGGTCAGAGAGGATGAAACAGAGAAAAGGAGGAATGGACAGAGGAACGGAGAAAGTGATGGAAGGAGTTTTTGGTGTGGGGTATAGGTGCAGAGGGATGGAGAGACATGGCAGCAGATGGGGGTCAATGTATGTTCTGGTGTGGAGTGGGGGGAGGTGATGCTCAGAGAGAGGCAGAAGAGGAAAGCAGCTTGTGTGTGGAGAGATCTGAGGGTTGGGGGTATACTTTTGTAGGCAGGAGGTGTGGTAAGATGTGGAGAGTATTGTTTAAGGAGGGCTGAGTGAACTATGATGGGGGGCTCTAGCTTTCAATGGGTATTGACAGATCTCCTCCGCTGCTGTTCTTATTCTACAGCTCTCAACAGCCCTACTTCCAAACATACCATACCTCTCCACAAATTAAAGAAGTCCCCCCTCCCCTATTGCACTTGCACATACGAGTTGATGAGTACTGAGATGGCCAGAGTCATCTGGGCCCTCTTTCTGAATGGAAGTGAATAGAAGAGTTTAGACCATGAGGCTCAATTGGTACTTCAGAAGGGGGCATTCTCCTTGAAACAAACAACTACCGTTAGGCTTTCTGTAAAAACCCACACATAGTCAAGGACTATGTTGAACCAATGTTATTCAGTTTATTTGTGAACCAGAGCTAGGCTGAGGGGTGAGAAGCAAAGGAAGATGCTATACAACCAAAGACTTCAAAGCTGAAGAACATTTGGAATCTGCAGGGTAATACACACCTTGTTTCCAGGCCATTCAGAGATAACATTAATTTTGAGTGTTTTTTTAATCAAGGTCAAAGTCAAGAAATTAAAAAAGATCAAGAGAAAATTTTACAGAGAGAATACAAAATGGATGAGTTAGAATGCCCTCGGAATTGAGAGGGTTCAGAGGAAAAGTGGAGAACTCTTGAGTTGGTGGCTCTGAATACCTCCCTTATGTCAGGAACTGGGACATTCTCACCACTGTCTTTTTTTCTCTTTGAAGAGGGGCCAGAAGGATTTAACTGCCAATTTTAAAGTCTGCATAATGTATTTTAGATAAGAATCAAACTGAATCAAAAGTGACAGTATCTCAACTAAGGGCATAGATGGCAATATTGATGTGAAATATTGTAAAATAAGCTATAGTTGCAGTTATCCACTTAACACTTGAACATCAAATGCATGAAAACACAACGATCAACATGCAAGGAGTATGGCCGGTAGAAGTGTGGAGTTACATTCTCAAGTGGGCCATTCAGTCCTAATTCACCTCAAACAATCGCTCCGTCTGGCCTTAGTTATGGCAGATTGTGTTACATGATCCTTGGAATAATGAACTGGCACGTCAACACTGCCAATCCCACATAGCCAAGAAAAGGATCTGTCTGTTCCAGCCCCTGATCCAGTCTGTTTGGGAAGCAGAGACTGTGGCGTGACACTTGTTCCTCATAGTCTCCAGTGTTCTCCCTGGAACCTTCAAGCGCCAGTTTACATTAGCATAACCGTGAGGCCCATCCACTCACTACAGGATTAGTTCAGCTCTCCTCCCACTGTCTGATGGCTCTTTATCCAGATGGATAGAGCCTGTTAGAGGTCTTAACCACACCATTGCCACTAAAGTCATTATCATTCACCACGAGAAGGAATCAGCTCACTGAGGGTCTGCTGTTTAGAGTAAGATTGACATCTCATTTGGGATGGTTTAAGAGAAAAAACAGGGAACTCCCCTTCAGACTATGATGGAATAGCCAATAATTGCCCAATCAATCTGCCTTTATGCTCAAGTGACTATTTAAAATTCTTAATCTGGTTTTATAGTGTTTTTGTAACACTGTATTTATGTAAAATGTGGATTATTTGCATGGTGTAAGCATTTTTACCCATGTTCATGTCATTGCCCAAATTAGTTAAATTTAATGTACTGTATCCTGGGATTGTAGTTATTTGCTCAGAACTTGAACTACCTCTTTTTCCACAGAGTGAGATTTGTCACACTTCAACCCATAAGACAGACTGTTCAGTTTGAAAATGAAGTTAAGCTTGAAAATAAGTTCATTCTAGGAACTTGTGAGTTCAAATATGTGATTGCTGAAACTTATGTGGTGCCATCACCAGATAGATTAACCTGACAAGATGTATTTGTCTCTTATCCAGACAGTTCCATATAAACCATGAACTACAACACTGTAATGTCAGCTTTACCACTTATCCATCAGACTCAGGTAAATTATACTGCTGATGCTTTATGTGGAAAGGCACCAGTTAAATAGCATGCAGTTGGTATAGTCTCGTCGCTGTCTCCCAACAGAGAAAACTATATCTAATGTGTAATGGAATCACTGATATTAAATAACAGTACATTAAACTTAGTTGACTTTTAACCACTTTTCTTTTAAATTGCTTCAAGAGCATAATACATTTGAGCAGAAGTGAGATCATAAAATATGTATAAATTAATTTATGATACACTTAATATATCATTGTGAAATGGATTTCTTTCACTATTATGCAGGTCCTCAGAAAAAAAGAACATATAAGAACAGTGCAAGAAAGAAACAACTGAGGGGATTCAGCTGACTTAAAGATGATTTCTGCCAGTTGATACCTACATAAATTAAAATGGGAAAAACATTGTGTGAAGGATAGAGGAAAGAAAAACTGGAGGCAAAGACCATGATCTTAAAGATAGATCTAAAAACAATATCATGTGTGGTAAACAATATAAAGCATTGATTTAATACAAATTCACTGTACTTCACACCTTGTGGGACTAGGACTCTTACATTTCTATTTGTGATCCTCTGTTTTGTTAATTGTTTGTAAAAGTTGCAAAATAATAAGTAGTATTTTAGGGTATCATGTATATGGTAAAACAAAATCTAACAAATTTTTGTAATAACAATGAGTTTCCCAACAATGTTCCACTTTCATGTTCCGCTGTGTTTTCCTGTTTTCATACTCTTACTAACCTTTTGCCTTACCCTAACCTTTCCTCTCCTTCTACTTTTGCTTTCACTCTTTTTCTCATGCATTCTATGCTCTCTCTCACCCTTTCTCCCTCCTACACTGCACTTTCTTTTCTCAAGCCTTCTCTCTCCTCTCTCTCTCTCTCTCTCTCCCTCTTTCTCCCTCTCTCTCTCTCACTCTGAGTATGCTGTCTGCCTCAGCTGTTCTCAGTTGCACTGTGTGCCTTGTGCTGTGGGGATAGGGCAGAGCTGTGCTGAGTGGGGCTGAACTAGTCCAGAGCAGTGTTAAGCAGAGAGCGAGTTGATAGAAAACCAGAGTGAAAGAGGGAAGAGAGAGAGAGAGAGAGGTAGTCAGTGCAGACTGTGCTTACCAAGCAGACTGGATTAACAGCTGAAACAAACTGGACCTGTTTTTCTCTCTTTAGCTGAAGGTAGAGACTCAGCGATTACGTGGATGGCTATTCAGACAGAGCTGCATGCTGGTTAGGTACCATGACAGGAAACTATGGCAGTCGTTACCAGACCCTTTCATTCTTCCTAGCATTTAGTAAGGTGAAGATCTCTTTTTTGTGCTTAGTTTGGTTATGTTTGCATTGGAATTAGCGGTGTGGCAGGCTCACTTGCAGTACCATTGACCCATAACCCACAACTCTGCTTTGCAGGTCCTGTCTCCCCTGGAGTTGGACTCTAATTTTGGCTTTTAACCTTTGGAACAGGAAAGGGCTTTTGATTTGGTAGGTGACGAGACCTGCTGAGAACCAGTCTGGACTGAATCACCAGCATTTATTCATAATCTTTGGACAGGAAAAAAAATTCCTCCGGTGTTTCTTCTACTACACCAGATCTGACACTGACCGCACTGGAGGCGTGTATTTAAAATACCTCTCTGGCCTCTATTGCCCTAGGACCATGGACTCTCTCTGGGGCAGCATTATGCTGCTGTGTGGGGTGGTTCTGCTCAGGACAGAGGGCAGCGAACCCCAACAGACCAAGAACAACGTCCCCCGGCTAAAACTCTCCTATAAAGGTGAGTTCCTCGCATTGGTATTGTCATAAATGGTAAATCTCTAAATGATTCAAGCCTGCACAATGAGGTAGACCCCATGTCCTAGAGCATTGCCTCTTGATCGTGTAGATTGAAGTGATCACTAGAAAAACAGCTTGTTGTAGTAACTGTGAGATCCTAGATGTCTCTGTAAGGCAGATAGACACTTTCACTGTGATGACTTGTAAAAATACCAGCAAAGTAAACTGCATTCAAACAAATAGATTCTTTACAAGACTTGTCAAGCATTATGGCTTTTCAGTTTTTGCCTGTGTGACAGAAAATAATACAAATCTGTTATATATGATTTTTTTTCTCTTCCATATATGGTATCTATGTTACATTATGTTCTGTTTAGCTGGAAAAAATAAATGCCATCCTCATGGAAACCTAAATAGAACTAAATTCAGTAAAACAATTAGTTTGGACTAATAAATATGAATTAATACTTGTTATATATACTATTATGCCAAGATGAGAGCAGTTTAGTGGTATTTAGAAAAGTAACTTCACTTGCCAAATCAGAAGTGCTCCTGTCTAACAGTTTATTACAGAAGTCTTTGATGCACTTTCTCATCCTGTCTCTGTCTCTGTTTTGATCAACTGCTGTTGTCAGTTTTGCAATGAAAAGTGGTGCCAGACATAGAATAGACTCACTGGCAATTGAGCGTCATTTATCCCTCTATCCCTTTTTCTTTTTATTCCCCTGGATGTCATTTTTCTGCTCCGTTCTTTCCTGCATGGTAATTATACTCAGGATGAATGGCGCAGGTCTGTTTCAGCAGATGGCTTTCCCAAAGAGAAATGTTTCTCGCTCAGCACTGGGGGATCCATAATTATACACACAAGCAGGTACATACACACACGCGTGTGCGCGCGCACACACACACACATAAGCACATGGCCATCTGTAGATAGCTAATGATACCTGTGAGCATATCAGTCATTTAAAACAACATGCTGTCAGTTTGGTGAAACACGCCCATGCAGTGATATCTCTATTAGAAGTCAGGCCTTCAGGTAGCAGCCCAGCTCGGTTATTTGGCTGCCATCTCCACATTCAATATTTCCATTAGACCTCATTCGCATTTTGGCTGGTTGGGACAATATTTGGCAGCATTAGCCAGAGGATAGTGGGCAGGTATAATTTTCATGCCTGCAACATAGTGGAAATATTATTCACATAATACTGTAGAATTTCATCAAACATTATCCACAGTAGGTCCCATTAGGCAAGTGACATGGGATTATTGCATTATGAATCATTTATATCATCATATAAATTATTTATTACCCCTGTGATAAGTGAAGCAGACTCAGATTTACTCATGGAGAGGAGGAAATCAGATTATTCTCTGTGAACAGTACCTGACTAGACAGCCTGAGACGTTGTCAAAGGAACGCTGAGCAAGAAACGTCTGATCAGTCACACGTGGGACTGTGAGGTGAAGGAACTCTGACCCCTACAGGTCACCATCATCATCGTTGTCTCCAACCTCCCCGCTGAACCCCAGGAGATTCCAACAGATCTTTGAAAGCGTGGGTCGAGGGGCAGAAGGGTAGTGGAGTAGGGGGAAAGATAACAATGGTACCCCATGGCTACCTAAACATGAGCTAAGGTCCAACTGTATCAACAACTAAGTGACTGGGTGATGATGAGGTAGTTGGAGGCCATGTATTTACAGTGCACCACAGCACCAGGAATCGAGTCATTTCACAGATGTTATACTTTGACATTTACTGATATGAGATCAATTCACACCCCCAGGGTAAATAGATCCTCTGGGGAGTAAATAGATCCATATGGTTTGCAAGTTTAAGGGCCACACTAAGTAGAGCGCATGTTGTTTAGTGTCCAGGGAAGGGAGAAGGTACTTAGTTTTATAGGATGTGGGTGTACTGCCAAAAGTACTCCTTCTCTTTGACCTGTCCACCCCTTCCCCAAGCAGAGCCAAGGGCCTGCACACAAGCACATATACACACACACACACACACACACACACACACATACAGGCAAATACATTCACAGCAGCGCAGCAAAATTCTTACTCCTGACTACCAAGCAGGAAAAGAGCAGAGAAAACTGAGGCTTCAGTAGAAACTATTTGGTTTCACTGATCATGAAATTTTTTGTCTAGTATACATTCTGCTGTTTTTCTTTCTGTGTTGTTCTTGTTTTTTATTGTGGTGTGAAATTACTTTTAACTAGAGGTGGAGAATGGAGAATTGCTCTTAAAGACTTTTAATCCAGAAGTACGTTAAGAATCTTCGGAGCGGAGTTGGGTTTCTTTTGGTGTGTACAGTATAAACCCTGATTGCCCCTGAATGGCCATGGGAAGGTGTCTAATACACTCTGGATGTTTGGAGGCTTCTCAAAAGCCGGTTCCCATCCAACTTCAGGCATGTTCACTTTTTGTTTGTTTCTCCAGGAGCTCTAAAGGGAAATATATGTAGTCATTTGACTTAGTCACCAGATACTCTGAAGAATGAATTCACTTTGTTTCAGCAGGCCTATGTCTACTTATGTAATCTCCAGTTCCCATGACTAGTGGCAAATAAACAAATAGGCATGTATGTCGGGGCAATATGGTTGAAATCATTAAGAACACTTTCTAATATTGATACAAATTGCAATAAGGGAAATGTATGAAAAATCACATTTAAAATAAAACTAAAATGCAGCTTTCTTCCACTATGATACAGTAGATCAAACAAAAATGTATTAAACAAAAAACAGAAATTTATTTAGACTACAGGATTTTGTAAAACAATGACACAGTAGGACCATGTCATCCCAGTGTGATGACACATGGCAACACTGAATGATTGTCAAACTGCTAACTAACAATAACTTTACTGTCTGAAAAATGCAACAATATGAGTATACCCTTTTATTTATAAGTGAAACAATCACCTTAAACCTCAAACCAGGCAAATATACAGGCAAGTCTGCAATATGTAAGAGCAGTTGAGGAGGTGTTTTTCTGCATTTCTACTCGACACTGAACAAATTGCTTGACTGATGAAGCTTTGTGTTATTTTCCCGCAGGCATGGATGAGTCAGTGACTGTATATAAACATAAAGTGACCCAGTCATACATTGTGTTTTGTCAATGTGCAATCATAGAACGATGAACGTCACTACTGAACTGACTACTGAACCAGGGCCAAACGTCAGTGTTCCTATATACAGGGCTGGCCACACGTGGGTTATTGTTAAGGTGTGTTTCTGCTTTTTCTTAGGAAGCACTTAGATAACACTCCCTGTGCCCTCCAGTCGAGAAAGAGAAAGACGGAGAAAATGTAGGGTAAAAGAGTTTATTTTTATCAGTCTCACATGGGACTGTTGATTCTTTGCATCCATTCCATCTGCCCCCTTATTTCTCTCTCACTCTCACTCACTTTCTCTCTCACTTTCCATTTTTCCCTCCCACTTTTCTGCTCTCTCTGTCCTTCACTCACAAACTCATTGTAAAAGAATATAGTAGTGGTGAGAGAGAGAGAGAGAGTGGGAAGAGATATTTTTTACTTAAAATAAATGGGGGGAGGAAAAGGATGTGAAAAAGAAAGAAGGCCAAAAAACAGCTGGTAAAAAGTGACATTTGCAGGATATTTGACAGGCATACTTCAACAGTCACAGGGTAAAAGGCAAAATTTGTGAAATATAGCAGGGCGACAGCTGACACCTGTTACAGGCCACACATTTGCCTATCCACCTGTCTTTCTGTCTGCCTGTCTTCTTCTGTTTGTTTGTCTGCGTGAAAGAGTCTGTATCTCTTTTAACACAGCCCAGTATGCCCAACACAATGTAGCACAGACAGGCTTAAAACATTATTACTGTAAAACCTTTGTTAAGGAGCTTGCAGTGTTTCAAAACCACTTTGCAGAAACATTGGGTTTTCGGTTTTAAGTTGCAGGAGATGGATAAACTGTTGCCATTGTCAACCCGTTGTATATTAAACCAGAAGGGACACCAGTTCAGACTTGTGTAGGCTACTACCTTGTGGCGTGGCTTGGAAACATCCTGTTTCTTTCCAAGAACACACATCACAGCATGCTCTATAAACACATATCTAAACACACAGATCCACACACAATACCCATAGAGTATCTGTCTCTGGATGAATTGCTTTTAATAACTTAGCAGTAGCCTCTGTTGAATGGTCTGTTGCCATGGACACTACTCCCATAGACAATTTCCACAAACCAGAGACTATGTGTATGTGTATGGCAGGTGGATGTGGTGATGCTGCTCTCCATTCTCTCACACAGGGATGTGGTTTGAGGAGATGTGAAGTGCAGTCATCGTGTCTGTGCAGTTTACCCACAACTGCCTGACACCTTGCTGTTTAGAAAACAAGTGTATAATTTTGTGGGCAATTACTTATTTCCTATAGAGAAACAGATTATGTACCTATTACACAGACACTCTGTATTTTTGGTGGTTTAAGGGATCGTTTCTTTTTGCTTTTAGGTGACTCATATATCTGTATTTTTGTGTATAATTTCTTTGCTGGATTTGAGGTAGTAGGCAGGGATTTGCTACAATATGCTGAGCCACATGTAATTCCTAGTTCTGTGGAGCAAAAATAAAAATATTATATGTGGAGGATGGCTTCTCTCTGTCTTCATCTTTCTCTCCCACACACAAATGTAGCCTTGGTGCAGGTGAAAAAGGGTCAGGGGCAGCAGGCGGGTGTTATTGTGCTGTCAGTGAAGGGCTTACAGTGGATCCACTAATGATTGATCACCAAGGCTACAGAGGAACATAAATCTGGGACACAGCTTTGGATTTGGTTAAGCAATACTTTTACAGCAACTTTTAATGACCTTGAGCTTCTATCCTTAAGACAGTGGCTGTATTAGCCCAAACTTGTAAATGACTAATATTCAAGTTTAATTTAGTCAATAAGATTAATATGTAATATGTAACATCGCAAATGCCCCAAATCAAGCAAAATACATGAATATCTCTCATACAAGTTTATACTGTAAATATCCATCCATCCATCCATCGTCAACTGCTTATCCTGCGTACAGGGTCGCGGGGATACTGTAAATATCTGAATCATAATTTAAATTGTGTAATGTATTCATGACTGAATTGATATAACTTTCACTGTCTTAACCAGCTTTTGGGTTTGGAACAAGTCCCATTGTATGTGGCTACAGACAAGATTTGCTGTTTACATCTTCAAAGATACTTTAAAATTCTTTAAAATGTCAACTTCTCAGTGCTGATGTACTGGTATGGGAATGAAATTAGACTCAAATGTGTTTTACATGATCTACAAATGAAAAATAAGAAATAATTTCAAATTTCTGCATGATTTGGGGTATTCACATATGCATATTCCAATTCACACCAATACCAGGTAATTTGAACACATGTAAAACACATCGCAATAAATATTCATATTTTACATTAAACAGTTTTACATGTGTTTTGGTGTATGGATTGGTATACGCATTTGTGAGTAACCAAAATTACGCACAAATCGTTGAACACATTTGTAAATTGTATTTTTCATCTTTAGCTCATCTGTGACCATTTTGAGTCTAATTTCCTTCCATACCCAGGAAACAAACTAAATCACTGAGACAGTGACAAAAAGACAGGGTGTCAACCAATTGTGTGTTACTATCCTGTGTATACAGTGGTGGGCATGTGAGTTTATGCATTCACATGTTTGTACATGTGAAAAAAAAGGTTTGTGCTTGACAGAATGCCAGAGCCAAAATGTTACATGAAGACCAGGATGTTTTTTGTAACTAGAGCCAAGAGGTTCTCTATTGTTTCCTTTCTCTCCCACAGCTGTGTTTTCGTCAGCTTTTAACATTCTTTCTTTATCAAATCCAGCTTAGTTTTTTTTTCCATTTATCTCGTCACCCATTTTTTTTTACTTCCTATTAATGGCTATTGTTTCAAGCATACTGACCCCATAAAGAGTGTACCTGTGAACTCAAATCTCCAAAGCCCCTTCATTTAACACTGAATCATATTATTATATACGTACAAAATAATAATTTTTTTTATCAGGCAATAATAATTATTTTCTTTGTGTATGTAATAAGTATTTCCGTAATAAGTATTCTTTTACTATTTTCACCCATGACGTTTTTATGATATTGGTTTTAAAATTATAAATTGTAAACAGTGAAAAGTAAAAAATGTTGAATGCCACCATAGGTGCTACAAACTACATTAGTCTTGTAATTTCTATTAGTTATTCCTATCATTTCTGTTCATTTAGCTTTTTGTCTGCTCACTCATGCAATTTTTGCACAAGAAACAAAATGCTATAATGTAGTCTATAGCTGGAAATCACATTTATAAAAACACACTTCATTTTTTTTTATATTTCTCAGATTACAGTTGCAGCTACCTTTTTGTTGGAGTACTCTGATGACCCATGTTTCAACCTGGAAATTCTTATTGAAATGAATCTATTATTGAGTTTATGAACGAGTAAAAGCAGTCAGTGTGATGCCCATTTTTCCCCCCTTATACCAGCCTTGCTCCAGCATGTGTCCTCTTGTTCTCTTGGGTTCTGACACACTTCAGAGAGGGGCCATTCTCCTTGCTAAAACATTCATAAACGTTTTTGTTATTTACTCCCCAAGAAAGCGTAAGAGAGAGAGAGAGAGAGTCAAGAGAGGGAGGGAGAAAGAGAGAAAGAGACCAAAGAAACAACTTTTCTCTGTTCCATAACTCTCCACCCTTTTGTGTGGGTGGTCAATGGGAGGGGGTCAAAGTGTGGTTAGACTTTGCGGGTGAGAATAAAATGTGAGAAGGACAGAGCATGAATGTGTGTGTGTATGCACGTTACACAGACGTGTTATAATGCCATAGCCATAATGCCACCTTTAGAGGTCGTTACGGTAATGAGATCCTCAATGTCTGTTTGTGACAAGTTCTGCTTTCCGCTGTGAAAGCAAATGTCGCTTCTTTGCCAGGCTTGGCAGACCATTGCATAACACTGCAAAACGTGAGCTGTAGCCCATAGTAATGTGTCCCAATAGCTGATGTGGTTCAGAGTAATCTCGCAGTTTGGACTATGAAATATTAGCAGAGTCATATGACATTTCATATTCCTCCTAGTTTTCCATTGTGAGCACACCAAGTTCTGCTTGGCTGCTCTGGTCAAGGTCATTTCCCCATGTTGACAGTTTGATCATTGGCTTCCAGTGCCAGCATTACCTGCCCAGTCCAATTTGGCTTGGCAGTGGTTATTCACTATCTGTCAGTTGCCTTGCTTGGCCAAGCTGTACAATGTCTAGTCCTGAGATCATCGTGTAAAGGAAGTAAAAGTTATAACATTTACACAAAAATAAAAACTCCAAAAAAAGCTATGAAGGAGGCTTTTACAAAAAAGAAAAAGACTAGACTACAGCCAAACATCCAAACCATAACATTTTTTAATGTATTCAGTATACGCATAGCAGTGATGCAATAACTGTCAGTGTATGTGGCACATTACAACTGAGCAGGCAGAATGTAGGTGATTGGAAATGCTGAAAGCTTTGTAAAACTAAGGCTGTGTCTCTCAAACAGTCCCCCGGAAATTTAAAAATAAATTGAAATAAATGTTGACCTTTTTCTTGGACTTGCATGCTGCCCGCGGTTTGTGATTTTCCCAAAGTGATTATCATATTATGCTTATCATCACTTTTCTTTCCATTTTTCTCTGCAGACATGCTGGAGTCTAACAACCTTGTGACGTTTGAAGGCCTGGCCAACAGTTCGGCTTACCACACCTTCCTGTTGGACGAGGAGAAAGGAAGACTCGTGGTGGGAGCCAAGGACCACATCTTCTCTTTTAACCTCCTCAATGTCAGCAGAGACTATACACAGGTAAAACTACTGTTTGATTTTCAGTCTGTCTGGTGGTTTCATCCATCTATCCATTCATCATGACCGTAAGTCTGTTTGCTTTACTGACCGAATTGATATCTGCCTTGAGTGTGCATCCCCACCCAGAGTGCCCATCAGGGCCTCAGGTGTCTCAGGACATTCTTTTCTGTTTCTACAGAAAAGTACCTCATGAATATTTCAGACTAGGGCTGTCGCACACGATCACACGCTGTGCCAGGCATGTTAGCTGCTCTCTGCACACCTGGATGAATAATGGAATAAACTGTAACAAAGTGGATAACAAATCGCATTGTGACCCTTCAACCCTCATATATACACATGCGTGCACACAAGCTGTAGCTGGATTGACTCACTTTGTAAAATTGATTCTGGGAGAGAGTGATTCTTTTTTAACATATACAGGAACTGTTTTTGTGTTGCAGATCCCTTGGCCAGCTTCTCCCACCAGAAGAGATGAATGCAAGTGGGCAGGAAAAGATCTCTCGGTAAGAGCCAAAACCATCCATCTTGCAAGTGGGTGTCAGCAGTTGGAGCCCCTCCACTCCCACATATGTTTTGAAAATGTCTTTCTTCTCTTGTACAATGAAATGAAAACTCTGCTACTGCTTTTAAAGTAAACCTCACACTCTCTCTCTCTCTCTCTCTCTCTCTCTCTCTCTCTCTCTCTCTCTCTCTATATATATATATATATGTGTGTGTGTGTGTGTGTGTGTGTGTGTTGACATTTCCAATCTGTCATATGAACAACACACCGCCTTGCTCACCATAGGCCTGATCATAATCTCAGAGCCAAGACTGAGTCCATCATTTGACCTTAATCACTTATCAAGCCTCTGGGCACTCCATTTAATAAAGTGATGCCTGGGAATCACTGTGCTTTCCACCAGACTTATTGGTATAATAGTATGAGTAATAACTGCTGTCATATATTCAGGGATCAAAAGCATTAGTGTTCCCATGTTATTAGACTGTCATCTTCCCATGTTTATCCCTTTGTGCTCTTAAAATTATGTGTGTTCATACATCCCCGTCTTTTATTATTTTGGTATTTTCAGACAAACCTCAGGGAGCACATCAAAACTGGCCTTTATTGGTTTGCTGTAAAACTGATCCTTTCAGATAGAATCATTTGCTGTATTTGAAATGGAAACATTAATGTATGCCATTTAAATTAGACATTGGTGTCACCCAACCAGAGCACATTATTGTGGGTGACATACCTGTAAGGACTATAGTCTTCAAACTCAGTCAGTTTAACTAATAATATTAAAGGGACAATATGTATATGGATGTCCAGTCATGTTGATGGTAAATATAATCAACTGAAGCAATAAATTGACAGAGAGAGCAGAGTTCCCATGCTGGCAGTGCCTACATGTTCCAGGATGCATTGCGCCCAAGCTTCTGATGCACAGCTCTGAGCTTCTGTATAACAACAAAGTTAACATAGCTGACATAGCACTGCAGTATTAAGTTCCACAAAAAGCAACATGAAAAAAAACAATTATCTGCATCCAACCTATTGCTCTTATTTAATTGGCTTCTCTTGACAGTCCCACAGTGTTACGACCAGTGTTGGGCAGTAATAATATTACTTTTCCCAGTAACTAAGTAGTGTAACTAACTACTAGTGTAATTACTTTTCTAAAACAGTAATATTATTACTAGTTACTAATGCAAGTAACGCTGCGTTAGTCGTTACTGAACGCACCATCCTTGACGTGAATCCACCACTGTGCGGCAGCTCAGCGGGACCGGACTTTGTTGTTAATGTCGCTGATAGCCAAAAACTAAAGGAAGAATGGAGAACAAGGGAGAGAGGCGTTCTTTCCACAGCTGTAAGTAGGTACTGCCATTATTGTGAAACAGTCTAAGATGCAAAGAACATTGTCGTCTAGTGTAAACCAGCAAAAAGTTTTCAACCGTGAACATTTCTACATCTGATTTATTGAAGCATCTGCTGAAGCAGCAAAGCAACGTGAAACTTACAGAAAGAAACTCCGGCAGCTTCTGTCACTGATGCTTGGACTCGTCGGGAGAGAGTGGCGTTAACGTAACGTTTTGTAACTGCTGAAGACTGCTCTTATACGGCATTCAGACCAACCGCGAATTTCCGTCTAGCAACGCTTTCCTCGCGTGAGTACATTCGCTGCAAGTGTTCACACACAACGCGAGAAGGCGATTTTAATACGATAACGTGAATAAACACAACTCGCCATTACTACAACTGTACATTTTGCTGTGATTATAGCAATAAACGGATTAAACTGATGCCGAAATAACTACAACATGATGCAGATTTGTTAAACATATGAATTCATGCTTTGTCAGGTCTGTCAGCAAGACAGCAGGACAACAACTTCTAAAAAGTTTTTTTTCTGAATGAAGTTTGGATCGATCAGGGCTATGCTATGCTAACTTGGTCACAGTAAAGTACAATGATAGCTGGAATAAAGTTACAGACACATGTTTTCTGAACTCACCAGGTAGTTCAACCTCCTCACTTTCTTTTCTCCAAGTCCAAGTCCAAGTCTTTCTAGTCCAATAGAGCTAACAACGCTAAGAACAACACTGGAACCGGATGTACACGGAAACTAGCGGCTGAGAAGCTCCGGTGAAGATAAATCAACGTTTGAATCCCAAAAACTAAAGTAAAAAGCTAATTTAATAAAAGCAGTTGACTCCGAGCTCCTCCCGCGAGTAAACGGCGTAGTTGTGGCCTTGGTGACGTACGGACATTCTCAACACTGATAGGCTTTCGCGACTCAGCGTCATGCGACTTCATCGCTTGAGTTGATAATATTCAACTCACGTGAATTCCTTCACGTCGTTGGCCCCGCCCCTTCGCGTCGCTTTGTGCCGCCCGACAGGAAATTGCGGCTCTATGGGCCTTTGCATTGACTTTGTATGTAAACTCACCGCCCCGAACCCTCGCTTCGCTTTTGGTCTGAAAGCACCATTATCAACAGGCTAAATCAGCTATTTAAAAGTCAGGATTTACTTGCTTTATTTTTTTTTTCAGCCGGTGGCGTTAAGAAACGTAAGGCCTATATGCTTTGTAAAAACCATACTCCTTTCTGCTGTTATGAGTATGATGTTAGTTAAAAAATCTGGAGAGACTGCTTGGGGGTGAAGGGGGTGTTAGTGAAAGCAATGTTTCCCATAATTAGCCTATAATTTGAATGATTATCAACACTGATCGCCACGTAGCCTATTTCTTTACTAGGCAAATTTAAAATCATATTTGATTGAGGAGCTGTATTGAGGAGCATATATTTGTGCAGCACCTCCTCACTCACTCCCTCTTTCTCTCTCTCTCTCTTGTGAACACGCTGCACAAACATGTCCAAGGTTAGAATACCCCCCCTGTCATTCTGTGGGAAAGTAATATAGTAACGTAAGGAGTAAAGTAACTAGTTACTTTTATCACCCAGTAATAAGTAAAGTATTATATTACTTTTTTAAGGAGTAATAAGTAACTAGAAATATATTACAATTTCTGAGTAACTTGCCCAACACTGGTTACAAACAACATGGTCTTTCCAATATATCTTTGGAATCCTGAAGAAGGCATCCAACAAAAACTGTCCATGTTGAAATTCATTGTAGCAGAATCATTCAGTTTGTGTTGGCTATGGAGGGCAATTTCAGCAAAGGCACCACCAGTCTGTTTGCTGTTGGCGGCTCAGGTTCTGGAGGTTCCCTGCCGTGGCCATATCCTCTTGCACAGCTGCAGATGCAGTGGCAGCCTCTCTCTGCTGCATTTTTTCATGGCTCAAATAAATAAGGCTGAATATCCGAATCAGCCAAAACATGTATCCTCACTCACTCAACCCTTGCATGACAAGCTAAGCATCACATCTTCCTGTATCTGTCTGAGTGCAGTTTAAGAGCAGTTTATGTGGTGTAGTGAAACTCTATGTAAACATGCTGAGAGGTTGCCTCTTCTCCCTGCAAGCTGTGTTTTAAATTCTAACTTCAATAGGGCCTAAGGCAAATGTCAATTCATGGCAATGCTGTTTGTGCCTCAGTTCACTGCATGGGCATTGGCAAGAACAGGGCAAGCTCTCCTTCCCATCCCAGGCTTCAGTATGGCTGATTTGAAGCGCCATGAAGTCCTTTGTGTGTTTTCTGTAAACATTGTGTTATGGATGAATAAGATGCCCTTGGGGGTGGTCTCTGTGTTATAGAGTTTGAGAAGAGTGAGAATTAAAGTGAGGTGGAAAGAGATGGCGTGAGTGAGTCAGCTGATGTCCCCTGATGTAATGTAAGCAAACACTTCTGGAGATGAAAAAGAGAGGAAAGAAATAGATGGGTGAGAAAAGTGTGACAGTAAACCCACAAGAGAAAAAGGAAAGCTGCAGCTATGGCATGGCCCAGCAAATGTGCCAAACCATAAAAATGATAAAATGTTGACTAAGCAGGTCGAGAGAAAAATTAATAGGTGTTTAAGTATAGTATTTTTATTTTGTGCTTCTTGCTGCACATGTAGTTCCATATGTCCGATTATACTGCTCATTTTTCTCATCAAAAGGCAAAATCTAAAATCTGATCAAATTCTAGACATGTTGATTCAATTGTAAGTGCAACCTTAACCCACCAATGTAAGGTATGACATGGCGGACCTTTGTGGTATGGCAGATCATGCTTATACTTACAGCAGTGTGTTAATGCTTGTGACCATGATGTTTATCACCCACCCAGGCCATTTAAACACAGCTGCTTAAATGACAACAAAAGCTTACGCAAACAGAGGCTGCTGATGACCTAGTAAATCCAGATTAATTTGGTCAGGCATAATTTGTGGTGTTATTCAGATTTTTTTTCCTGCTGTTTTTTTCTCTTTTTGAATATGTGATGACACATTCAGTTTTATTTGAGGTCAGATCTGCTTAGGCACGAGGAAATATGCAATATGCAGAGCAATGCATACAACACATACTGTACGGATGCTTTTTTGCCACACACACACGCAAGGAAATTATAAGATAAACTACATCTGCTACATTACAAAAATTTTAAAACTTCAATTAAAAGCCTAGTCTCATTTAGACGCCTGTCTGGTTTTTAAAGAAGTTCTTTGGATGTGTAAAACCTCTTAAAGCCCACCGGGTCACCTGCTTCAGCTAGTTCTAAGCTGTTTGGATCCGTGGTTCTCAAAGTATTATTTATTCATATTTACATATTTATTATGGTAAATATGGAATTAAAAGACTATCCCATGTTGCTACCTGTCCCAAATATAGGGAGATTGATAGGGAGATTGAGTTCAGTGATTTCAGCAAATAAAAAATTATCATAAAACAAAGTCATAAGAGCCCAATAGATTGTAGAATCAAAAACTGACAGAATGATTGTAATCCAAAGTTGGCCTGCATTACTCTGATTGGTATAGGATTATTATGGCAGACTTTTGTTAACTGCCTCTTTTGTTATCAGCCAGCAGTGAAATATGTCATTGATTTCAGAGAGAAGGTGGAAATGGGTGGGGAGCACTGTATGTAGAGGAAGAGAAAAGAGTCAAGAATGATAATGCTTAGTCTGGTCATATTATTTTATCAGATTTATTACTCAGCACAGTGCTGTGGTTGGTAGGCCATTATCTGGGGGATTACAGTAGATAACAGGTTTTGCTCTCTGTTCATCACATCATCACATATCTCTCTATTTAAATAATAGATTTTCTTCTGTGACCTGTGCTCTTAATGAGGTCTGACCTGTTTGTTTATCCAGCAGTTTTGCCACTTTTTTACTGACCCAAATGCCCTAGGTCCTATCACAACAAGCTTCTGGACAACCATGACACTAAAGACTGTTAAAATTGTGGCTTTGAAATGGTTTTGTTGATTATTCATCCTGCTCTTTTTTTCTGTCTCTGGTCCAACAGAGGGAGTGCTCAAATTTCATCAAGGTGCTGCAGCCGTTCAACCAGACCCATCTCTATGTGTGTGGCACAGGAGCCTTCCACCCTGTGTGTTCCTACCTGGAGGTGGGCAAGAAACCAGAGGTACAGGCAGATGTCACATTTCCTTTACTGCCTCCAACTGTCATACACAATAATGCAGGTTTGCGTTAAAATCTAAGAACTATTCTGAGTTTCATATCAAAGTAAAGTTTAAGTATTTACAGTTGTGAAAGACCATGTCTAGCTGGGTGTGCATTATTTTCTTTACAAATGATTTGATAAGTACATAAAAATTATTTCGTTCAGCAAAATGAGGTGGAAAATTAAACACAGGGTTTCATAGCCAGGAGGATAGGCAGGATTTCCAATTCATCACTCTAATATGGAACTGCTTCATGTGTATGTGTGGGTTCATTTGAGTTTGAGTGAAGGAAATTGCTCTCTTCTCCTCCAAATGTCACTGAGTCAGACTTATAAATGTGCGTTTCCTACTCATTAGACAGCTATTTACAGACAATTAAAGGCAGGAAATATCTCTGAGAAAAGCCATTGACTGTATATAGATCATAATCTAGAAATGTAATTCATCTGATGGGTGTCCTACATGAGAGTCACAGAAAGATTTATCGTTTTCATTCTTAAGCCTTTGCTGTTAGAGGTTTTAAGCTGCACCATTCAGACAAATTTAGTTTTTAATACATGTTTTCCACATTATATGGCAGTGTCACATATAGTATTGTTTATCTTCTTGAAATGTTGAAGCAAAATAGTATATATTTAAAATGCTGCACCTTTTTTTTTGATTCACTATGAAACTTCTGGCAACCTCATGCTTTGGACTAAAATTTAAATATAAATATGTGGGTTGTAACAATGCTCATTTTGATGAAATACTAAAGATTAATACCAATGTGGATGCTATGTTGTGCTGACAGAAAATTGGTTCCCCAGAGAAAATTCCACTTATTTTCCCCTGTGTAATTTGCATCCTCAACTCCAGAATAAAAATGTGTTCCTCTGCATGTGATAGTTCACTACAACTCATGTGACTTTCTGTCTGTTGTCCAGGACAGCGTGTTCAGACTGGAGCCTCATGTAGAAAATGGCAGAGGGAAGAGTCCCTATGATCCCAAGTTGCTCACTGCCTCCATGCTAATTGGTGAGTTTAACTTCGGATACACTGTGCTGTTCTTTGGTGTGTTAGAGCAAGGTCATATAAAAACACAAGGGTCCTGAAAACACCCTCTGCTTTGCTCTTTCATTTCAGCTGATATATAGGGTGTAAAGTAAATGTGAATAACAGAACAGACCATTCCTGCCATTCATTACAAGTGGATCTGCTCTGTAGTTTGCATTTACACCCTGGGAACCCCTCATTGGCAGGACTATAAACTCTATTTCAATCTCAATTTACCTCATTTAAGTGCTGGGCGTGAATTGCAGATGACACTTTATTGAGTTTTCTTTGCACTGAATCCCCGTTTTTGGCAAGTAAGTCAGGTCTATGTGAGCATGTCTTCCCTCTTTACCCCCAATTATTGCCAGTCACATTGTGTTATGTCACACAATTTAACCTAGCAGATGGCCATTTTCCAGTCCATCACCCCTCATCTCCTCTCCCCCCTTTCTCTCCCCTCTCACCAGCATTATTATGTACTCCCCCTGTCTCACACCTCTGTCATGTCCCTCCTCATCTGTCCCTCATCCGTTGATCCTTCCCTTGCTTCGCTTCTCAGCCCTGCCTACTGTGTTAATGTCAATTTCACACTCCTGATGTTCATCACGTCCATCACTGTCTCTGTTCTCTCAGGACTCCAAGACTACATGTACTGCTAAGCCCCTGAACAATTCCTCAGACTTATACACCTGCATCCCTGGGGGGAAATCATCTTAGACTGTTAGTGTTACTACACTAACACACTTTATTCCTCTAATTCTTAGATGGGGAACTATATGCTGGGACATCAGCTGACTTCATGGGGCGAGACTTTGCCATCTTTCGCACTCTTGGCAAGCATCACCCAATCAGGACGGAGCAACATGACTCCCGGTGGCTAAATGGTGAGAGAGAAGAGGAAAATCACTGGCCAACTCTTTGGTTATATTTATGATTAGTTGAAAAAATGCAATAAACTACTAATAAATACTTTGCTTTATTTTATTTTGCAAACAACTGTTTGTTGGTTTATGTATCTATCAAATAGAAAATTTGCTTATCAAACAGAAATATTTCAGTGGTGGCTGGTGATGTCCTGACTGCTGTTCTGACTTATGGACTGCCTCAAGGATCTGTTCTTGCCCATGTATATCTATTTGCTACCATCAGGCCTTTAGATTAGTTGTTTTAATATTGCTTTAAAGTTTCATGCGGATGACACTAAGCTGTATTGTCTGTCAACCACAATGGTCTATGCAATCTAACTAACCTAAAGAACTTACTGGCCCACAGAGTCCTCAAATGACCATACAGCAGGCTCTGGGACTAATACCAAGCTGTTTATATAGTAAGAATTTAGGTGTCACATTTTACTTCTCTCCATTTTTCTGTTAAGAAAGTGTTTGACCCCCTGACCTATTGTTTTTACCTCTTTAATCTACTAAGTCTTAATTGGGCGGCCAGTCCCTCCCGTATTTTGAATCCTATCTACTGAATGCTTTTATTCTAAAGCAAGTTGTAACTTTAAAAAAAGTGCTAAAGGAATAAACATTTTGAGATAAAACATAGTCACTTAAAAATTTGATTTATTTTATCTCAAATGTGTGTGTTTCTCTCTGTGTGTTGCAGACCCCAGGTTTGTGGGTGTTCATCCAATTCCAGAGAGTGACAACCCAGAAGATGACAAAATCTATCTGTTCTTCAAAGAGAACGCTATGGATGGGGAGCATGCTGGGAAAGCCACACATGCTCGTATTGGACAGCTCTGCAAAGTACGCATACAGACATTAACACATATCCATGCAAATACACACTCACGCAAGCTGGCTCTCACAAAGGAAAATTCAGACACACACAAAAGGCGAGAGACAAAGACACACACACAGACATTATACATGAAATAGCTTCTGCAACTGAAAAAAAAACACTTGACGGGTGTCTGAGTGGCTTTTATAATGGCAGGTTTCAGGGGCTGTTATCTGTGATTATTTTCAGCCTGGAGAAGAGTGAGCTTTGTTGTGTGTGGTACAATTGCCCCCAAAGACAGAAACCTGAGAGAAATGTTAAATGTCACCAGAACCTGAGAGGCAAAGACGCTGTCAATGGCAGCACTGTTATCCTAATGCCAGGCTTTGGCACTGATTGGGTCTGCTACACCCTCCAGCGACAGGGGGTGGTTATGTTAAATCACTGGCCTCGTATCAGATTTCCCGTTCCAAATCCTATTCTTATTCATTTAGCAGGAATCCACCAAGCTGACTGCAGAGCAGTGACTGGTGTCCAGCCTCAGCCTTCCATTTAGCGGCATAGCGTGCGTCTGTCATAACAGCCTGACTACCCATAATGTCAGGAATCTGCTATGCTCAACACAAGACAAGCCATCCATTATGCAAGATGTGGTATTAATTTTCGCCTATACATATTTGGACACACTCTAATTTATTGTCATAAATCAACACCAAGTGGGAAAAGTTTTTATGAGCCAGCACTTTGTGCATCTGTGTTTGTGCGCTATGTTCTGGAAAACAAACACTATACTGTGAGGCTCACATTCAAATATTATTAGGGTGTGTACTGGAACACACAGTACTTTTGAGGCAGACTTCATTCTTCACAACATCTAAAAATCTATTATTCATTATGGGAAATGCATTTTAAAGAGGCAAAAAATGTTTAGTTGATTGACAGGCTTGTTTAGTAATTAAGAGAAAAGACATCGCATACTGGAATTTTTATGTCACCATCAATGAAACGATTCTGTTTTATATAATCTGCCTAATGTTTTTTTTAAATAAGCTTTCTGCAGGATATTTTCTACACTGAGCTGTCAGTGTAAGTATGTGTCATGTGTAAGTTTCAAATCTAGTTAGTGGAAAGAGTCTGTCAATGTAAACACAGTTAAAGGTACTTCATAGGTTTCTACTGTAAATCTATCTCAATATGGCCAAAAAGAAAATGTATATTATCATATAGATATCACCTCACGATCTGACCTTGTAAACAGTATTAAAAATGATCAACTTTATATGAAGATGTATCTGGAGGTCTCTAAAGGTTCCTTGATCCATTTCTCTACAGAAGCTACAACTTCAGCGTTTTATAAAATACCAGTTCTCCCCAATAAATAAAGGGATAATGTCCAGACTTAGAAAGGGTTTTCACATTCATTTCCATAAATGTTTTGTAATATGAATGGCAACACTGTGTCTTTCATGATAAAAGACATACAAAAACTTAAAATTAAAGGAACTGTGGAAAATAAAACAGTATCAGTCTCAATATTCCTGCTGAACATGTGATCTGTCCAACAGAACGACCTGGGAGGTCACAGGAGTCTGGTAAATAAGTGGACCACCTTCTTAAAGGCTCGACTTATTTGCTCCGTGCCTGGCAGTAATGGCATAGACACACATTTTGATGAACTACGTGAGTGATTCCACCCACTGCTTAAAACGAGTTTCGCACATTATTTCCTGAAGATGCAATGTTATCTTTTCAGCAGAGAATACGTCTGTAACATATAGTGCCTTCTATTTGGCTTTTTAGAGGATGTTTTTCTCATGAGCACAAAGGATCCTAAGAGCCCGATCATCTATGCAGTGTTTACCACTTCCAGGTACAGTGGCTGACATTGAAATAGTTTCTTCTTTAATCACTGATTACATGACCTGTGTTTTCAACAAGAACCTGCCCTTTCCTTATCAGACCCATTCTTTCTTCCTACTAGCAACATCTTCAAAGGTTCAGCTGTGTGTATGTACAGCATGACAGACATCAGGAGAGTATTCCTGGGTCCTTATGCTCATAGAGATGGACCCAACTATCAGTGGGTGCCCTTCCAAGGACGTGTTCCCTACCCGCGGCCTGGCACAGTGAGTACAGTCTGCTCTTAACTGGGATGTCAGTATGTTATGAACTGAGCATTAAAGTTTATTCTCCTTTATGTCCTACATTGTAATTGTTATGACAATGTTTTTTTCTCTACAGTGCCCAAGCAAGACGTTTGGAGGATTTGATACAACTAAGGACCTTCCTGATGAAGTTGTAACTTTTGCCAGAAGCCACCCAGCTATGTTCAACCCTGTCTACCCCATTAACAATCGACCAATCATAGTCAAAACAGATGTGGACTACCAGTTCACCCAGATAGTGGTGGATAAAGTAGAAGCAGAAGATGGCCAGTATGACGTCATGTTCATAGGGACAGGTATACACATTGTCACAGTAAATAATTGATAGGCATATACTACAGAATAGATTTTATCTCAAGACGTGTTCTTCCACTCTGTGCTAGACATGGGGACAATACTGAAAGTGGTATCCATCCCTAGAGGCTCCTGGCATGACCTGGAGGAAGTCCTTTTGGAAGAAATGACTGTCTTCAGAGTAGGTTATTCTCTTATCAGCTTTACTTCTTCTTTTAAAAGATGCATGCAGAATCAACAAATGTTGTCTCATCAATCTGTTTTATTGTCATTTTTGTTATTTCTTACAGGAGCCAACATCCATTACAGCGATGGAACTTTCAACAAAACAGGTATTGATTGTAGTTCTTATTTTATGTAAAATGAAACTGTAGCAGCATGTGTAGCAGAACAAAGCACTGTAGCCAAAGAGGAGACCTCAAGCTTATATCAAGAAAGATACATTTTACTGTCCCCACAGGGGAAATTTGCTTCCACAGAATGCATGTTTGTAGGTGACACACCTTGCTGCAGAGCTGAAATACAGAACAAAGATATGCTTGTCTGCACATTTTAAACACTCTGAGATGAAACACTTTATCACACACAGATCTCAATTGTTGGCTTTCAACAACAGTTAACTTGTCAGCCTAAATGGCAGTGAGAGACAAAATGAGTCAGTTAATTGACAGGTAGGAGGGTGCTGAGCACCTGTAGTAAGATGGTTTGGCCACATTCCTGACTTCCTGACAAAAACTGAGCCAAACACAGGTGTATTCCTCAAAGCACACCTCCCATCTGGACATAAAAACTAAATTGTAGCTCCTAACATACACACATAAAATAACATAAAATATCTGATATTTAAAATTGTCTTTCTCTCTTATCTGCACAGCAACAACTGTACCTGGGCTCAGACATTGGTGTGTCCCAAATGCCTTTGCATCGTTGTGAGGTTTATGGGAAGGCCTGTGCTGAATGTTGCCTGGCCAGGGACCCTTACTGTGCATGGGATGGCACCGAGTGCTCCAGATACTTTCCCATGGCTAAGAGGTACTGAATACATGCTCAACATTCATACTTGTACTTGTACTTCATACTCACCATCCTGCCATTGTGTTTTACAAGCTGCTCAACACCTTGTACACAGTCAACATCAACATAAAGGCTTATTTGTGTTGTGCATAAGAGCAAACTGCTTTAGATATATACGTACATAAATATTCAATATAATACAACTCAAGTTTGAGTCGTGCTTGTTTAATTACTTTTGTTTAACACATTTTGCAGAGGTAAACCAAAATTATGTTGAAGGGTTTTCAAAAACAGATTGAGCACATATGCAGTCAGGCTGGAGTTAAGGCACACTTATAGTACAGGCTTTGTATATTTGCCAAAAACCCCTAAAGGTACAGGGTCATGTTTCTACCAGATGCCAGAAATATAACCTGCCTCATGTGTTTACTGTAAATGAGAACCAATGTCAGTGATGTCTGGAGGCAGGCTGGGTGAACCAGGGGTGAGGTAGGTGCTAGAGGTTCTGTGGTAGTGTGGTTGTAGTAGTGTACTTTGTGGGCTGCCTCCTACTCATAGGTCCATGGGGCTTATTGATTTGAATGCTAGCTGCACATTATCTTGTTCTTGCTGTTCATTGGACTCCAGAGTTCTACATTCAAAAATACAACAGCCAGAGCAAACTCTTACCTCCAATTACCAGCCCACCAATGCTGGGTTAGAACAATGGAAATGGAAGAAGTTACATGTTTGCTTTGGTGTCTCCATAGTTTCTTCAATTGCTTTTACAGAAAATATCCTTAGGGTAATGCACTGTATTTGAAACTCCATATATTTTGCATCTGCAACACAGGGAGATGACAGGCTAAAATGATTGATTAGGTATGAATTCCTCTGTTACACACACCCTATAATTAAAGCTTTGCTATGATACTATGTGCTGCCTGTTGTTAGTTTATCTATTTGTGTTGGCCTCCACTATTGCTGCACATCCAAACCACCAAATGAATACCTACACACAAGCTCCCAGTACACACAAACCTTTTCTCTCTCACACACACACATACAAAGAAGCTGATGTGTCTGATGACTCACAAAGGTGTTTATATTTGTGTTGCAGGAGGACAAGGAGACAAGATATCAGGAATGGAGACCCACTCACACAATGCTCAGATCTGCAACACCATGGTACATAAATGTAACAATGTATTTTACAAATTGTGGTATTATCAAGGCAATGTGTAATAAAACATTTGTATGATGCTTTTAGTTGATAGATAGATGGATAGATGGATGGATAGATAGATAGATAGATAGATAGATAGAAAGATAGAAAGATAAATAGATAGATAGATAGATAGATAGATAGATAGATAGATAGATACATAGATAGATAGATAGATAGATAGATAGATAGATAGATAGATAGATAGATAGATAGATAGATAAGCAGCAAATAGCTGTCCATTTTCCAACTGCACAACACAAAGAGCTTTTGTTTTCACTATTTATTTCTTCCTTAAACATAAAACTAGTCCCAAAATTGCTGCTGGTCTTTCCTTAAGTGATCAAAAAGAGTAGAGAAGCCAGTTGGATGTGTTTGGTGTGCCTTTGTGTTTTATGTGTTTCTGGTGGTGTGAAGATTAGAGTCGGCCCATGAGAAGCTTATAATTAACGTGGTCAGGATTCCTCCAAGCCTCCTCTCTGTCGCCAAGCCCTCCACTCTACTGCCCTGCTAGTAATCTTAGTCCAAAAACAGGACTCATACAGGACTCAGCTGTGTGACACACTGTCTCATTCTCTTAATTATACATTTCTTTCATCATATGAAAAAGAACGAAGGGAAAAAATTGCTTTATCAACATATCATTATCGAAAGCTGTTGATTTGAGGTGGAGAAACTCATACACACAAAACTCATTGTTACCTGTTGCTACCCACTCAGTAGGCAGCAACACTTTTGATTGCACATTTTAGGCAAACCCCCAGATGCGAGACACAGCACTCTATAATAAAGAATAGAGTAAAAAAAAAAAGAGTGTTTCGTGTTTCATAATTTAGAAGAACAATCAGAAGGACACTAGCTTTACAGTGCACACAACTCTCTGACTGAATAGATTTGCATGTACTTTACTATTTGAAACCCAGATTTTAGTAACAGCTCATTTCCTCTGTGATGGGAGCTGCCTATTCTGCACATGATTGAGTGTGATAAGAAAAGAGACAGGATAATGTGACAAAATAATGTAAAATGCAGTCAAGAAACTAAAACCAGGTCCCTAACTCGTCATCAAAATCATTCAGATCACAAAATCTGCCTTTAGGACTGTCTCCAATTTTTGGCCTGTTAAAGAAATCACAAAACTTTCAGCCATTGCCACAACTAATGATACCAGCAACAAATGAAAAAAACTTATTTACTTCAACAAACACGTGTGACTTATATATTCTGATTTTTCTATCTAGATGAATTAAGTGGGCAGACGACTCTCCTGGATAAAAATGTGTATGGTGTGGAGAACAGCAGCACTTTCCTTGAATGCAGTCCCAAGTCCCAGAGGGCCCTGACATATTGGCAGTATCAGCGCTCTACTGATGACCGCAAACAAGAGGTTGGCAGTACCTCAGCTATTTTGTTGAAATAGAATCATCATTTAGAAATGTTCAATTGCAAATTGAAATACATTTTGTGTAATCAAAAGAGCCATGAGGCATAGCTGATTCAATTTGTGGCAAGTGTTCTCAGATCTTTCCCATCTTCATCACTGTCTCTACCGCTTTCAATTTTTTCATTCTGTAGATCAAATCAGAAGAACGTTTCATCCGCACAGACCAGGGCCTACTTATTCGCACTCTTTCCAAGAAGGATTCTGGGATCTATCTGTGCCAGGCGGTGGAGCACGGCTTCATGCAGACGCTTCTGAAGGTCACCTTAGAGGTCATTGACACCGAACGCCTGGAGGATCTGCTACATCGCGATGGAGAGGTCGCAGCCAGCGTCCCCGCCCAGGACCGTTCTTCACCTCAAGAATCTCCCAATCAAAAGCTGTGGTACAGAGACTTCCTGTCTTTGGTCAATCACCCAAATTTGAACAGTGTGGACGAGTTCTGTGAGCAGGTATGGAAACGAGAGAGGAAGCACAGGAGGCAGAAAGCTCACCTGGTGCAGCAAGTACAAATACAGCAGCAGCAACAGCAGAAGGTTGTGGTGAACCCTCACACCCACATGCATGCTCAGGGGCTGGCTGTCAAGTGGAAACACCTGCAAGAGAGGCAGAAGGGACGCAACCGCAGGACCCATGAACTGGAGAGGGCCCCCCGCAGTGTCTGACCTATAAATCTTGACGTTTAACACCCTAACCTGAAACCACACCCAATTCTCATTCTGTAACCGCGATTAACTTACCCACTTATCTCCATCATACTGAGATACAGACTTCTTCCACAAAGACTGGACAGAGAAGCTAAACTGGAAAAAGGTCATACTATCCTGATCTGCCGGCTGGTGTGTTCTGTGCGTGGGCATCCATGTTTACAGTACGCCAGGACAGAGGACTGCAGGAAACAGGATATTGTATCGCGCCAGACCATTGGAGCATACTATCTCAGCTGGCCTCTGTGGCCCAAACACATTCAAAGGGATAGTGTCAACCAGCACAAGAAGTGGATACATTTACCCACCCTATAGACATGACTGACACCATGTTGAGATGGCTATGTCAATGGCATTCTCTCATTTCATGCTAGTTAGGTGTCTGTATTAGTGTGAATCTAAGTAGATACCCAAAATACCTGTTATCTTTTCTACTCCACACATATGAAAGAAGAGGAGGTGGGACTGTATTAAAAAAAGTGTGGATAGTAAATGGACTTGGAGTGGAATTACAAGAACAAAATAAGTGAAGCTCGCAGGAAGCACAGGATGGGATATTTGGTCATTTTTTGGTATTGTAGATGGTTAGATCAGTCAACATGAGAAATTAAAATGCCCATGCACTGCAAGATACAGTCACCACTTGTCGACAAATATAATTATGTAGCTGAGATGTGTAAATACTGTATACTATAACGTATCCTCATACTAAAGGGAATGGCTTGCAGTTGTCGTGTTTATTTAAGAAAGTCTTTCAAAAGCAGTTTGTACTAGTCTGCGTGTCTACACTCTAGATAAGCTTCTCAAACAAAGTCAGGTTTTAGTATTCTGTTTTGTTTACTTTTTTCTGAATCATCAGATTCCTTCCAGTGTCAACAGTCATAACAATGACTGTCACTTTTTAGGGATGTCTGCCAGCTCTATCAGCTAAATGCACAAAATGTCATGCTGAGTTCTTCCATGTTCATTTAATTTGTATACCCTTTGTTTCCACTACATGTGTATTTATTGATATACAATTATGTACATTGTGAAAATATTTTTCGATACGCTTTTTTTTAATTATTTGGTTTGATTAATTTGATCATTAATTTACATCACCAATCTCTTAAAATAACTGTATTATCACAAATACTATAGTAAGACTGGAAGTTATTTATCAGTAGTGGTCATTATTACATGCATCACATATCAAATGCACTAAGCAATAACACAGTATCCATACTGTATATTTCTTCCACATTTATTGTCTCATTTCCATATTCTTCACAGGCAGCGCAGTGTAAAAACTTCATTTCACTGCATGTACCATAAAAAACTTGATTGTTATACAATGCACACACAAACACAAACCTGGAATGTAGCTGTGAACCTTATGTAAATATAAATACTATGGTCTGTATGTTTGACGAGTATGACACTGTGTATTAGTGCGCGTGAATACTATGATAGTGTTCCTGTTTTGCTATAGCAATGATATACTAGTCTGTTGTTGTCAAAGTTATTCTGTTGTTTGCTTATACAGTACACAATATTAAGTAGTTCAAAGATGTACATAATATTTCTGTTAGGACTCTAAACTACATAATTGATCATTCCTGGTAGGTACTCAAAACATAAACAAGACCTAAACAGGAACTCCCTGTGGATTTAAATGTCCACAGACCAGTTAGCAACAATGAACAATGTGAGTTGAGTATTGCAACACATCAGTATGTCAGATGACCATGTCGAGTGAGTGTTTGCAAACCTCATCTGCTTTTGGAAGCCATGATGGACAGAGATGAGAAACAGTTGGAGACATCCTTCAGAAGATGATTTTATTCTGACAAGTTAAGTTGAACAACAGAGTTGTGGTACTTTCAGTAGAGATGGGCACATGATAAGATCATCATTATAAAGAGAGAATATAGGGTGCCCCACTGCATCTGTCTTGGACACACAATTAAAGTAAGGAAATGAAGTGCTGCTGCTGCTGCTGCTGCTACTTTTTGGCATGATGATGATAGTGGTGATGTATTGTACTGATCTAATAAATGTCTCTTCATAAAGTCCTGGTTTTATTAAATCTGTTTTTAATGTTATATGTCCTGCTGCTATCATGGCGTGTGGTTAGTGAAAAGAAAAGTTTCCTGTAGCTCTGATGATCAGATTAGATTTTGGAGTACCTTGCTGCGTACATTACCATATTAATGAGAAAACATTTATAAACTTTCATAACTTATCTTTAATATTGGGATTTATTTAATGCTTTAATGTCCTAGGACATAACAGACAAGTACCTCATAAAACACGGAAAAATGGGCCAATTAATTTTATTAATTTGATTAGCTGAAGTAATTAACATAACTGAAAATATATTAAAAATAAAGTGGATAAGGCAGAATATCAGCCAGCTCAAGTGTGTCTTATAATGTTTATTGAAAAGCGAAGCTGTGTACTACGGTGTGCCTCAGGCAGGAGAGGAATTACTGTAAGTTGTTATTAAGACCTTGATGTGTGATGTGATATGAATAATACATGAGGTTTCCTACAGTCTCCAACTGAAACCCAGTAGTTGTATTTGCATTCCGACAGGAGTTGGTGGTAAAAAATACAGTATAACTTTGGCTTTCAGTGTCTGCAACTGAAGCAGAACCTTTTAAAAAAACGAAAACCAACATCATGAAATGTATGTTCACTTGCCAGAGCAGATCCTGCAACAAAACATGAACTGTGTTTTACTACTGCCCTCTGGCGGTTATGATAGAAAAGCACATATTCATCCCCACAGCACATTTCACATTTCCCTCTGTTTATATAGCATTATAGTCATTGCTATAGGAGCTTGGTATAGATATAGTGGTCCAGAAGCTGCAGTTCAAAACTCAACAGACAGTTTTTATCTTGATAGAGCTTCTGTTAACACTGCTGATTCACTGATCCAAGGTCAAAGGTCAGTCAGCATCTGTCTTTCAACTTGACCTCTATACTCAATTCAACTGCTGCTGTGGGAGCTCATGAGTATCAGTCCGAACTGCCTCAGAGGGAACAATATTCAGAGGTGTCCGTTGGGAGAACACACACACACACACACACACACAAAATCAGTAGTGATAGAGATAGATACAGCATATAAGCATCAAGCGATAAATCATGATAATCCTAATATTGAGGCACTCTCATGAGAATATTAGAAATGAGCCACTGTTGTTGTTGCAGTAAGACACAGTGCTATATGTGAGCTGGCTGTATTTGTGGGTATGTGGGCGTGGCTTGAAAAAAAGATAAGTCTACCTGTCATACTGATGGAAAGATGCAAAATAAACCCAACTTGGTTGCTGTTAGTCATGACCTTGCTTTGTGACCATGGTTCGACATTTCTAAACATCTATATGACAAGTAGGACACAAGTGTATGTATTGTACCATATTGTACTATGACAATATTTAAATGTCACACTAACATTATATAAAATTTTGGCAGTAACATTTAGCTATTATATAAACTTGAAATGCTGAGAGTGATTGAGTAGAAACTCAGAGACAAAGAGAAATTGCAGTAAAATGTAGTAAAATTGTAAAATTGCAATATACAGTACTTACTTCATCATAGTTTCTAAGCAAAGTAGAGCATTTCAGAGTTTGCTGCCACCACCCACAAAGGTCTTTAGTGGGTTGCTCTTTGGCATCGCAGTCATAACTGCAACACAGAGCATGACTGCCCTCCAGTGGCTGAAGGGGCCTCTTTTAATACGGTTCAACTCCAACATACCACTGTGTGATGGAAAACAGCAGCTCCACTTTTGACTCCCAGCCAAGGCCATGGATGAGTGAGAAGGACCGCCCTGACACTCACACAAAGGACCACTACACCCAATGGAAAAACTGACACATAAGTGACAGAGTGGGAGAATGAGAATACAGAGATTAGGGAGGAGTTAATAACCTACTTGCTGCTGTTTTTATTGCACTGAAACTGTGCAGATACTGTGAGAGTTTTTGTTTGTAAGTCAGTAATTCAGTTTTGTATCAGGATTAGTTACATGTATCACACATCTTCACACTCAGTTCAGTTCAATTCAAAGAACTATGGTTTTCTTTTGGGAGCTCCATTTGCGGAGTTCAACATGTAACACCTAAAAATGCACATTTGCAGCATTTAAAAATATACTACAGTCAGTGGGTATGGGTAACACCATAATACATGATCTGATAAATGGAACTCTGACAAGATTGCATGCAATGTAGAAATGGATTTGGTTTCATCATAAGAAACTCATCTTGACAAGAAAGCTGTAGATTAGGAGTCATGTAGCAGGCAGCTGAGTGCATACGTAACAGCATGTGTTGCATTGCATACATACAGTGTTTTAGACTCTCCCTCAGACATTCATCATCTTTGCATCTCTACAGCTGCATCATTTACTGCAGCTGTGCGGAAGAGACATGAGTGTATCTCCTATCAGTAGGCTTGGTAAAAGTGAAATGGAGCAGAGCTTAAGTCATTTATTTTACACTAGTGACAATAAACTGGGTTGATTCTTCACTAGGCCCAGTGGGGTTCTGCATGCACACACATGCCCATATCACTGGTGCATTCCAGCTGGTCTGTTCTGGGTCACCTCGAGAGACAACACATTGGTCTATCTGCAAGATTGATGGTAAATTCCTAAAGCATAACATTCAGCCCCAAGTTTTAGCATATACAACCACACATACATTTGGTTCATAATGCAATCCACAGACACGGATAGTGCGCTTTCAATAGAGTATGGCTAAACAGTTTAGCTTCTTAAGCGAGGACATGCCACACAGTTGGGAGGCGTGGAAAGATTTGCATCACCCTCAGAGCTCCAGTGCAGCCAAACACAGCCCAGTCAGCCACAACATGTTTGACATTCACCCACTAAAGAACGAACCCTGACAGCATCCAGCCCATTAGTCAGGCGAGAAATAACATTCATGTGTCATAAGTGGATTCTGCCACCTTATAGCAGAGTATGGTATATCACAGCACTCTCTGGGTGATGTAATGATCTATTCTTTTCCTTCCAGCTGTCATTTATAAAAAGCTTGTAGATTTCTGGCACTGACCCTGTCTGAGTCATAGAGTCAATACTGGTGATGGAAGTGTGTATGTGACTATATGTGACTATGAGTGTAAGTGGGGAATATAGAGTTATTTTATGAGAGTTATTCTGGAAAACTTAATTTTGCAGGCTTGGTGGGGGTGGGGGGTTGCTAGATCATCGATGGATAATGGCTTGGAGTGCGGTCAAGTTCGTGTGTGTCTGTGTGTGCTGATCTCCATCATACTTTGTAGCGTTGTGTTAGCATGCAGGGGCAGATCCCTTGCCTGGGGTAAAACAGAGGACAGAGTGTTTAGCTGTGGCTGCTTGGCATTGGTAGTGCTGGTGGTATGCTGAACAGTTGGCAGGATCCTTGAGTTCCTCTCTGCTATGAGTGACAGAATGGCACAAGAGGTTTAGACTAGAGACTTATGAGAAGACCTGTAGCCTGTTTCCTGTGTGGAAAAAACCTGTACTAGTGTTATTTTTATGACTGTCACATACTTAGAGTTTAGTCTGCTTAGTCTTATGGAACGCAAATGTACTGGTATTATGGACTTCACATTTATTTTACAATACATGCCAATATATCATAACTTATACTACAAAACATAATCACCTATTTCTTTTATTCACATTAATGGGAAATGTACTGGGCTGCTTCTTTACAAAATATGAAAAGAGCACGCAAGCTGAGCATACACACAAATGTTTAACATTTAGACTAGATTAGATTAGATAGACATTTAGATACATATATATTTAAACCTTATATAAATTGCAGCGCTGAACAGTATTTTCCCTGAAGTACAACAAAATACACTGTAATTTGGAGGTTATCATCACAAGCATTAGTATAAGAGTTTTGACAATTCACTGTAAACAATATTTTAAACAGATGATCTATCAATTTTTTCCCACCATACATTTGATGACTTAAGACATTTTCACAACATTTGACAGATCAAGTAAACAAAAGAAAAGTCTTTTTCTTCCTTCACCTTTACTAGCTCACACTCACACGCAGTAAAGGTGCGAGCTTAGTGCACTTGTAAACATACAATTATTGTACATTGAAATGAACTTCACCATGAAAGGTCAATCTAGTCTGTTTGTAAGCTCCTTGATATATTTTATTTTATATATATACATATATACACTGTATATATGTAAGCCCAGTTAATCATTGTATGTGTACAGTACTGAGTAATGAAATTGTCTAGACAGTCCAATATTAGCATTTGCAAGAATGTGAGTCTGGGTGGATTTAAATGACAAAGTGAAGTTTGTGAGTGTTTATCATCATGGTTAACCTCATGGTTAGATTGATGGAGGAAATTGTTAGTCCGGTGTGAGTTTACAATGAAGAAACATTTTCACAGTTTCCATTTCTCGTTTACACATTGTGTTGTGTTATCGGTAAAATGGGTTATTGGACATAAAATAATGCAGAAAAAGGCAGAATCAAAGAAATGATGGCTGATTATCCTCTGAGCCTTTAAAGGAAAGGCTGTTGGCTAAAGCAGCTTTCTGACTAAAAGCGTGAGAGGGGGACAACAAAAGCATGAAAGCTGCTGAAAGGAGCGGATGAGATAGGATCAGACAACAGATGAATGAGGCCAGAGGCTTGACCTCAGATGACCCAGAGACAGGTCAAAGGTCTGTACACCAGAACTGAGGTCAATTTATCCAGAGAAATGGGTCTAGGTAGTTTGTCGTGTGTCTGACTGTTGCGTGGCCGCTCACTTCCACACTTTTAATCTATAACTGATTGAGATCTGCTTAAGCGAGGTTTGGCTGGGGCTCCTGGAACACATCAACCAGTGGACGGCTTAGCTCTCTGTCATTCTGTGTTGGCCCTGCTCCCTGAATATCAGAAGGATAAAGATCACTAACTCCTCATTTGAAAACAAGAGAGCCTAACTAAAATTTATAAAGGTCTAATTCTTATTTTTGTATGGTCATATAACCATGAGCAAAGACTTTCACCAAATTTAAAAAAAAAAAATTGTTTTTTTAAATTTCTAAAACTTTGCGAGAATTTGGAAGTATATACAAATAAATCCCCATCTCCATCTCTGCTCCCTCCCTTGTGTAACCCTTCGCTCCACCTGAAAAATGTGTTGATGTAATTTATAATACTGGACATGGAAACTTAAACATTCACCACCGAAATTCATCTCTGTCAGCATAGATTAGCCATTGCAGCCATATACTGGAGAGAAGGTGCACTGAACAGAGTCTTCACCATTCATACAAAACACTGTTTTGCTATCCCAGCACAGATGTAATTAAAACCTTCGGCAGCAAAATAAATATTTTTATATTATATACTAGTCATTGGCATCCATTTATGACTCCACTGCAGTAGAGCAGAATGCACATTCATAATTAATTTTCTTTAATGTCTGTTGCGTCTTCAATTTTGGTTCAAGCCAGTAAAAGAAAAACAACATATGGGAAGACAGTGATCAAGTCTTATTCCTTCAGTGTTGAAAAAACAAATTCCATACATTGCTAACACCCTTGTGCTCGCTCAGTTGTTACTGATACAGTACATATGCCCGTAAAATAATTGTTTTTTCTGTACAGTTACAAAGCTTTAGCATTTCTATCTTGATTCACAGGAAAAATGTGTGATATGTTTAAATGTTTTCTGCCACCTCTTTGGACATTGTTGTTGTGTCTCTGCAGTTAGCATCACAGGACCAGAACGACTTACTTTGCCAACCTAATCTCCTCCAGCGAATGCAATCCTCAAGTTCTGTTTGACACCGTCAACAGCGGGATTGCAGTAACCTTTTGTATTTCTTTGTGGATAAGATTACAAATGTCAGAGCTAGCACCACCCCCTCTTCTACTCCCTTTTATGCTTATTCAACTCGGCCATGCAAGACCTCATTGATCTGGTGGGCAGTATGAAACCTTCCTCAAGCACTGTAGACATTCAACCAACTTCCATGCTCAAAACTTTACTGAAATAAAACCTATTAGATATCTCATATCACTGTTATGCGGATGATTTACAGCTGTATGTTTCTTAAATATGCATTCTGTACTATTCCCCCAAACCACCACAAAGAAAAAAAAAAGCAATAAAAATTCTGCCTGTCAGCCATACCTTGTTTTGCACTTTTGAGTTTAGTTTATTATCTGTCTTATAGTATGTTGAGTTTTGGGTTCTGTCCTGTCTAGTGCCCGGTGTCCAGTATCTGTTACATAGTCCGTGTTTTGAGTTTCAGTTATTCCTTGTGTCCAGTTACTCTGTGTGCTTGTGCTGGTTGGTCTGTTACTGTCTGTGTGTCTGATTGTGGGGTTATTATCTGTCCGTGGGTGTTTAGTAGTGGTTTGGTTTTTTCCTGATTTCAGTTCTGTTCCAGTCTCATGTATTAGTTCTGTACCTTCATGCTTGAGTTCTGTCTGCTTGTCTATTTATGTTCTCTGCCAGCTTCATTAATTAATCTGATTTTGTTCATTCTGCTCCAGTCTCTGTGTAGCCTTTATTATTCATCCACATCTTACTTAATATCTGTCTTGTCTCGTATCTTTAGTCCTGTACCTTAGTTCATGTCTTAGTGTTCACTCCTGGTCTGTGTACTCCTGTGTTTTGCCCATGTCTATCTGAGTTCTGTTTTACTTTAGCTTCTGTCTGTTTTCCCTGTTGGTGTTAGTTTTGTGGTGATCTGTCTGCTTGTGTCTTTATTAGTTTATATTTCTTCCTCTGGTCTGTTATGTGTTCAGTAACCTGTGTTCCGTCTGTTCCCCCAGTTGTCACTTTGTCTGCCTGTCTCTCTCTGTTTTCCCTGCTGTCTCTCTGTCTGCCTCGTTAGCCTCATGCTCCTCACTTGTGTTGCTCCCGCCCTGCTCGTTAGTCCCTGTGTATATATACCTGGTGTTTCTGTCTCGTCTTTGTTGGGTCATTGTATGTGGTATACCCTGTGAACCTTGTGTTGCAGTATGTTGTGGTGTTGCCTGCTCTGTCTTGTGCTTGGATTTTGGTCTTTAGACTTTTGCCTGTTTCAGGATTTCACCTTGGATTACTTTGTTTTTGGACTTAGTTTTTCAGCCACTGAACCTCTAAGTGTGCTCGCCTTGTGTTTTGTAAATAAACCCTCTGAGCTATACCTGCTAGCCTGCGTGTCCTGCATTTGGGTCCTCCAACCTGCTTACCTGCCTGACACCACTAATCGTGACACTGTGTAGTAAGTGCCGTGGAGAAGTGGACCAGTGCAGTGGACCAGTATACTTGGTCGCTCTTGACTGACTCCCTGGTGAACAGAGGAAGCTATGGAGTACACAATATCCACACTCAACTAGTCTACAGGTTCTTGTTCCCCTCTGCCTCTCACCTCCTCTGCTACCTCAACAATCTGATGTGACTAGACAATTACATACTAAGAGAGGGAGAAATTATTACAATTAATTGGGTGGGGTATTAACACGATTATAAATTCAAATCCAGAATTTTTTCCTGACAAAGATGCAAAGTAAGGTGCCAAATTAAACCTTATTGCTGTTTATTCAATTAATACATGAAACTGTTCCACCATATTTCATTGGATCCTAACTATTCAGTTTTTACAGATTTCAAGTATCCAAATGTTGATGATGATTATTACATAAAGTGTCTAATAATACATAGGTCATCTTTTTGTTATATTCTAGGGAAGTACTAGACCTGTGTATGTGATAGGGCAATGGAATCATAGGTGAGCTTGTTTGTTTGGGGAGTGTGAACTACAGTTGACCTCTCTGCACATGAACTGGTGCTCACGTGCCTCCACGTGAACGCGCATGCTTAATGGACAGCAGCACCAAACAGTTTTAAATCTGCAGCTCTGCTGAGCTAAATGTATGCCTGCTTATTTATTAGCCTAGTACAGGGGAAATGTTTGTTTTCATTTCCAGCAACATGCAACAAAGTTGACCTGTCTATTTTAAACTACAGTATGTGGTAACTGTTATGATATACATGGTATGGATTACTGTTATTACTATCTGTGGGTACACCTACATGTGGCCAACGCCACTGAGATGTGTTAATTATACACTGCGTGCACAATTATTAGGAAAACTGCATTCCTCAGGATTCATTTAATCATTGAACAAACACAATGATCCCAGTCATGGAGAATGTATCAGTTTACAGAATTATCAGGCAACTAAATTACCAAAATAATGTATATCAAAGGACTTGTTTATTCTCACTTTAAGTGAGTAAGTGAGTTAAGTAAGCGTTTCTTTTAAATAACTGCCATGAGCCTTACATCCATGGAGTTTCTTGATCTGTTCACTATGAACTTTTTCCGAAGCAGCAACCACAGCCTCCCAAATGCGGTTCAAAGAGGTGTATTGTCTACCCTGACACGTTTGAGGAAAAACCAACAAGTTCTCAATAGCAGCCAAGTCAGGAGAGGAAAGGGGCCAGGTCCTTGTCATCACTGTCCTGCATAAAGATCATGGCCTTCAAAACGGAGGGCTTCTGCCTGTACCACTGCTTGAATAACGTATCATCCAGAAACTGGCAGTAGGTTTGGAGTTCAGTCCATCTTCAACCTGAAAACGTCCAACTATCTCATCCTTAATGACACAAGCCCTTAACAGTACCCCTCCTCCACCTTGCTGGCACCTGAGTTGAAGTGGTGCTGTGTCCATCAGTGATCCAGCCACTGGCCCATCCTTCTGGTCCATCAAGAGCCACTCTGATTTAATTTCTCCATAAATGTTTGGCACCTTGTACTTCTGGACACTCCAGGAACGTTTGCAGTTCTGGAATATAGTGGCACTGGAGGATAATGGGCTCCAGGTAGCTACATGTTTAATTCTACTCAAGTCTTTTGCTGTTACATTTTGTTCTCCATGGGCTTTTTGCACCCCAGTTGACTATTCACATCAAAATGTTTGATTGTCCAGTGGTCACGCCTCAAAGGTTTAGCTATTTCAAGAGTGTTGCATCTGCCTGAATAGCATTTACCATTTTACCTGACTTAATGAAGCTGCCTAATAATCATGCAGACCTTGACATTTGTGTTGCCCCTTCCTCCTTACATAAATACATATCACCTGAAAATGATTGATTACATTAACGTTAAGTGACCACAATTAGATGGTCAGAATGTGAAAGCTGGCTGAAAATGAAATGTGAACACCCCTGCATTATCGAAATTAAAACACAGTAGGGCGTATCAATTTAGCACTCACAAGTTTATTTGAATGAGGATATTATAACGTTGTATTGTTTCCACTTTATGCTTCAATTAGTGATTTTGAGAGAGTTTACTGGTTCAGTGAATCGGTAGAAGAGAGTGATTAAGATGCTCTCCATTAAACGGGTAAGCCTCCTGCAAATTACTTGCACAAAATCTTAGCCTTTTTGGCAGGTACGCCATCCCCCTCACCTTCATCCATCACTGAATCCTCGCGCTGCTGTTCTTCTTCAAAGGCTCTTCTCATTCTTCTTCTTCATGTTTTATAGGCGGTGACCGTCACTAGATGTTACAGATAATATTCTACATACTGCCACCTGCTTTACCGGAGGTGAATGTAGCAAACATAGCAAATACGCCCAGCTGGGTTTTTTAAAGGAAGGCTGGAAGATTTACGGGAAAATTTTTAAACGGGACAACCGCGGGAGAGAATGGTAAAATACGGGAGAGTCCCGGGAAAAACGGGAGTATTGACAGGTATGTATTCGTCGTCATTAATTTAAATAATCATCATATATGACTGTCATGATGGTATGGCACACAAACCGCCTCCCTGGGAGTCTTTTTTCCCTGCATGCTGCTCCCTGCTTACGGCTTCAACTACACTCTCCTCCTGCTCCCCTCCTCCTCTGTTCCCTGTACCTTCCTGTCACACGCCTGCTCCAGCCACCTCTCCTCTTTCCACCTGTTACTGCATAACAATTACTGCCGTCCACATAGAGGTTCTGCTCTGACCATCTGACCCAGATCCAAAGCATCTGAAAAAGAGACGCAGAGAGGGGAAGAGGGGGAGGGGTGGGCCCGGCCCAGTAAGATATGTGATTGGGCCAGCCTATTGTCATTATAGAAAAGGAACCAATGGACTGCTGCCCCTGCTTTATAATAGGGTGATCGTTAGAAATTAAAATATATCTATTGCTATGCAACCGGCCACCAAGGTGCGCAGGCCTACCAGGGTATTCCAGATTACCAGTTCTTTTAAGCCTGATGAGACTGACATAATGGATGTCCTGCACAATTGTGTCACTGTACCCTAAGGACTGGATAACAACTTTTTACAGCTCAATGCAGATAAGACTGAGGTTCTTAGTATTGCTTCAGATATCATAGCTTCCATCGTTGCCTGAGTAGTCTGAAATCTCTGTTTTATATATTTGCTCAGGCCATGCACTTAGACCATCATATCAAATCACTGACTCGTACATGTTTCTTCCACTTAAGAAAAAATGCAAAACTCAGATCTGTTGTTTCATAACCTGACCTCGAGATGATAATTCAGGCTTTTCATTATCCCATTTGGACTAGATTAAACTTTTAATTCTCTTTTCACCTGCCTCAGCAGGTCTCCTTGGACCGTCTACAAATGGTCCAAAATGCTGCTGCAAGGCAGGTCCAGCAGGTCGACTCACATCACACCCATCTTTATCTTTAAGTTGGCTTCCCATCAGGTCACCTGCATGGCCAGGCACCTGTGTGACCTGCTCCATCCTATATCACCAGTACGTCACTTAATTCTTCTGATTAAGGCTTACTCGTCATTCCTCACGTTTGACTAAAATGCAAAAGGTAATCTTGACTTTGAAGTGATCGCTCCGAAACTGTGAAACGCTCTTCCTATAGACTTGCGATTTTTAGTCTCTGGATTTCTTGTCTCATTCTTTCCAGTGTTTGTAATCTTGTGTGTTTTAAAGGTTTTTGCTTATGTTTCATTGTTTGATTTCTAATCATTTTACTAATTTGTGACCTTGCTCTGTGAAAGGTGCTATACTAATTTAACTTTACTTACTTACTTTACTTGTTCATATGTTATTGACAGGTTAATAGATAGCAGTAACCGTTACTGTACACATTGTATTTTTGGGATACCTAAGTTTATCATACTAATTTACAGTACTTTTTAAACTGTACAGTATATGTGGTGAGATATATATTGGGGAAGGAATAACTCCACAACATTAATTGGACTTGCAGAATTAAGTATACATCCAGTAACTTTAACTCTTATATTATTCATAAATTGATATGTGTAACATTTAAGTTGCTATTTCATGTACCCTTTGGGACAAAAATAAATAAATAAATAAATAAAGTAGACATGCCATCTCACACCGATTTGATTAGTTGTAAATGCAGGTGCTGTGAAGTTATCAAACATCTTACTAAACTATATGGCTTTGGTCTTGGCCATTCAGAAGCTAGGTTGTTTTGTCAGAACAGTTAGGTTTATTGATAGCTGTCAGAATACAAAGTTAATTATGCAGCAATAGTGCACTTGCAACCGCTGGCTTCAAGGTGTTTTTTCTGTCTAAATTTAACCATTAGCTAACATTTTCATGTGGTGAACACATCAAAATAGCACATCTGTTTTATGCTGTTGCAACATTATCCAATTAGTGGTCGAGGAAAGGAATTTTCTAAGCCACCGCATAATCTACTTTTCACAGTTCATGCTGGTTGTGCGAAACTATGTTGATGAGTATACACTGGTGGTTCAAAATATGTGACCCCAAACAAGTGTGTTTTATTCCAGGAAATGTGTTTGTCAGTTCACACAAAGTGTTGATTTTATTGACTTAAAAAACCCCAGTGTTTACCTTCAGTTCTCCTCAAAGCACATCTTGCCATGATTTTTGCGGAACTGTCAGTGCAGTAATTATGGACACATGAAGTGACAAACAAAGGCAGTGGAGGTTACAGAGACATGAACCAGTCAGACAGTGCAAACACCAGTCTTACTGGCATTGCTTAGCGCCTCACTGGCGTCAGTTTGAAACTATAACTTATTAATTGTTTTTTGGCTCTTTTATTTGTAAGCATTAAATGAATTGGGACTTTGGGGAACCACAAAAAACTACTGGTTTTAGGTGGAGTGTGGCACATTTTAAAGTATTTTGAAGGAATAATATGACGGTCTACACATACAGTATAGCAGATTGCTTGTGTTTGTCTGGTATAAGTCTCATGGTGATCTAAAACATAGCTTAAGGTCATTAATCAGAGTTAGGGAGAAATGTAAACATACTGACATCTTCAGATGGATTAATAGGAGACACTGACACTGTTCACTGTATCACTGCCATTTTAAGAGTGATACAGCGTAGGTTATCAGGTTAACTGATTCTGAGGAGCAACAAATCTGTAACAAGCCTTAGCACAGATACCTTACACTCAGTTATCATTTTCCCATTCGTATTATAACGTAACGTATTATATTGAATGGTCACCTCACACCTCTGTCCACTTGATAAGTAAGATGTGAGTTCAGACAAGGACAAGCTGTTGATGTGAAGCGTGTCTGGCATCTGTAGGAGGAAAAAAAATGCAGGAAAAGACACACACTAGCCTATAATTTACCAAGAGAGACATCCCAGCTTACAGATACACCCAAAGTATGACTCACACTCTTAATTCATGGATGTGGATACTGTATGAACTACTTTTTCAAGCATTTGTTTTCAATTGAACACATTTTGTTAAGTTTATGTGTACATCACACAGGGGTTTCTTTTTTATATGGTTTATTTGTCAGATTGGTTGAGCAATTAATTACAGGCTTTAAACAAGAGAGCTGGCCTTAATTGGTCACAGACAGTCGTACTATATAAGAGGACTGCTTCTGCGCCACTTTAAAGCAGACTGTGGGGAAAAAGTGCCACAACATAGCCTATCCCTTGTTGCAGTGTCGCATGGTGGTCATGCCCTGTAGCAGGATGAGAGTTAATTAAATTTACATGTCACTATTCATATTTTATGAACACAAACATACGCACGGTGTCTCATGCACAGACGTCATGCACTCACACAGCGACAGACACCACATACACACCCACAGTCACACTGAGAAAAGTTGTTTTTCCAGTTTAGTGAATTATAAGTGGAGAGGTTTTTCTTCAGCCAAACCTAAAATGTTGTCAGAATTGATGCAATGTGCAACACTGTAGTTTCCCCATGTGATTCAAACTCAGTATCTTTTCCACGTATCCACCCTTGTTTTTTGGCTTTGGTGCTAAATGAAATGTGACATTTCCGTGTGGGCATAAATCACAAACTAGTGAGCTAGAAAAAAGTTGAAGTTGAAGGCAGATGTTTAGTCAATGCTTGTCACCATTATTATTATATCTATCTCTATTTTGTCTGCTAACAGTGATCACAGCTAAGTGTGTTTAAGACAAACTGTCCAGACAGATGACAAGACTACATTAAAAGAGCTTTTCAAACGGCCTGGTTTTTCAATCTTAAACCTTTCCCCATAAATACTCTCATGTCACTGTGCCAAACATGACGGATGACAATGCACAGGAAGTGAGCTTTTTCGTCCTGTGCACACATGAAAGCACATACACACAGGAACACAATATACATAAATTCACAAGGAATCCCCCCCCCCCCACACACACACACACACCTGTAGATTATCTGAACGCTACCACGATGATGGATAACAATACACCTGAGGCCAGGTCACTTCCACATATCACTCCAGAGGCGAAACCCATTCCTCCTCTTCACCATCTGTGACTGCAGAGCACTGGCCAGGACTGGGTTTCCCATTACTAACCCTTTAACTGAGAAATATGTCCTGAGAGATGAATCACAGGAAGTATAGAAAGCCAAAATTGTGGCCACATAGCTTCATTGATAGCGGTTTTGTAACCACCTGAGCATGGATGATACATCGTGGTTTCTGGCATTATATTTGGCAAAGAGAGAATGTGTTTCCCCTATGCTTCGGTGCCATGGAAACTCATGCGAAACGTGCACTTACTTATGGCCTCACCTGAGGGTTAGCAGTTCTCAGTAGGAGAGATATTAGGAAATAATGGAGTGTAACAGCATATATGCAGACTTCTTTCCATCTTAAACTTAAGTTTGAAGTGGTTACAAGTAGGATTTCATATGCGTGAAGGTGTGCAGTGGGTTTTATACCATAATGTTCACACTCAGCAGACACAGCTAGCCAACCATAACACACCTGACTTCTCAGTCAGAGTAGTCCTGCGTCTCTTCCTTCACTGCCTGCATCTCTCCCAGTTCATTCATCTGTGGCTTAACATTGACTTGACAAATAGGATAAACATGTGTGTCTTGGTGAGGTTATGTTACCTAGCCTCTCCATGATTTAACTTTCATCTACTGTAATCACTGATGTATGGCAAGGAAACAAGTACTGCTACCTGCCTTCAAATTCTGACTGATGTCTCTGTAGTCAGTGTGTGCCACAGGGATAAACTCCACTGGCCATATGACAGCCACCTGTGTAAACGGCTGGAGTATCTAGTGGCTCTGAAACACTGGATCCTCAGAGTGCTGCTGCTGTTGCTGTGGGAGACCAGGGACCTGACCTCTCTTTCGGTGAGGGGAGCCCTGCAGGCGGTCAATGGTAGACATGCACTAACATACACACAGTTTCATGCATAAATGCATGTACATACTCACCCAATTAGGTCTATCTTGCTTTAAATCTCTTTAATTCCTTTTCCTTCTTACTCTCCTTACACTGTAACACTGCAGTTCAACGCACAAAAGTATTAGACACTTGCATGTGCATAAACAGTGTGCCTGTTGGTGGGGGGGCAGAAGGAGTGTACATGTCTGTCTCTGCGGGTCAAACAGGAGGTGAGGGAGGCTTCTGTTGAAACAGGGCGGATATTTACACAGCATTAACATGAATGAAAATATTATCTGTGTTCAGAGAGCATGAAAGGAACTCCGTCAGACGTTTGGACACGGCCTGTTCAAACAAACCTTAGACATCAGCACTCAATCAAAAAGTATTTTCACACACTCCGGCTTCCTTAAACAGCAGCTAAAGGTACGAGGCATTTAGTGATGTGACACATCAAATTTTGTGACCGTGAATGATACGATCTCTGAAATTTGACACATTCCTAGAACTTGGACATTGCAGAGCAAATATCTCTGCAGTGCAGTACTACATGCTGAATTAATATTCCAGGTATTGGTGGAATCCCAGGGACGCATGTAAGAGGACAGAATTTCAATGGAGGTGGGAAGAAAGTGGGTGTATGGCTGCTGTGTAGGCGTGCTGCATGCAAGCCACTAGCACAGTCAGAGTCAGACTAATGGAAACATCAAGGGCTGAAAGTACAACGCACAAATCAAGGAAAGGGAAGGGAAGCAGGGGACAGAGTGAGGAAGTCATAGTTAAAGTTGAGCAGTTGCTGTTTCTGGTCTGAGGCAGATTTCTGACTGATTACTGCTATTAGACTGGGTGAAGGAAGGAGAGACCCATTCAGTCACAGAGGAGCCGATGCGTATAAGTGGTTGCTTTGCCCACTGGCCTGCTACTACTGCATTAGGCTCTTTAAATGGCTATTAATCTGAGGCAGTGGCTTAAGACATCGGAAATGAAAATCTTCCGGGCACCTTTCACCAGGATGCAAGGCTAAAATATGCTTTTACATTAATGCTTTGGTTCAAAGTGATGAAATTGTGTGTCACGGTCAGTCAGATAGTGTCAGCGCCATGGGAAGCTGACATTGAACAGTTGTCTCGCTCTCAACAACAGATGAGAGTCTATAATTGCACAAGGCAATGGAATAACAGAGATAGTGTATGTTACAAGACCTCCACGCACACAAAGTCCTTCTGTTCTGGCAGGGAACAGGTGCAACGTGGGAGTTGGAGTTCCCAGATCCCAGGGTGGTACAAGAGGGTGGGGGTGCAGCTGCTAGAGCCTAATGCAATCATTTCCAAGTCCATATTACTGTATGTGTCTTAATTTATAGGCTGGCCATTTGTTGTTGGGCATACATTCACACTTGTTCATATATTTCTCTATTCTGTCTCCCGTTTTAGCTATTCATCCTATGTATGTTTTCTTTGTCTGTGTATGAGTTGCTGCAGTTTTATTTTTGCTGTTAATCAATATAGAGATTTCAATTATGAACGAGGATAAATACAGGGAAATGTTCTGTTTAAATCCCTGTTTTGCAAACTAAAACATTTATACCACAAGGTGCTCCAGACACAGACTTGAACACTTTTTTGTCAGACTGATGGAATGCTTCCATTATAGGGATCAGCATGCCTTAATGTTGGTGTCACCACACAGCCATGACACAGAGACAGAGAGAAACAGATGTATTTCAGTGAGCTTTATGAGAGACAGACAACACTCTGCTCCGGTAACTGGACGCCTGCAGGGACTTTCCCGTAGGACATGTGCAAATTCAATAATGACTCCAGTCACATCTTGTACATTTTTTCTTTTGAGAGTGTGTGCTTGCTAATCAGATTCAGAAAGCTCTGGATCTTGAGACAAAACAAAAAACAACAAAGTCACGAACAAAAAAAGACTGCATGTCAATGAGTTCAACATTTTTTGTTGTTGTTGTTGTACACAATGCAGGCAATAATGAAAACCCATACTCACACATAGGTACACATACACAAACAGTACTGGAAACAGAGACAGATACTAACTCATTTAGACAGGATGCAGTAGCAGAGAAAGAAAGACGAAACAGTGAAAAAGCCAGGCGTGGTATGAAACATTAAGGAAGGAAGACACAAGGACAAACTAATAACTAGGTTTTACAGAACGGAGGAGTGCGAGAGATGAGTAGAGAGATAAACAGAAGGAGAGATTAGATGGGAAGGGATAAAAAAAATTGCCATGAAAGAAACCTTGTTCTTAAAAATCCATGGTAACAGTGATAATGACTATCCACATGGAAACAAACACAAAGAGGGCAATAATTGGAAATGAAAGAAATGTCAGAGTTAAGAGACTGAAAACCTTGGCTCAGGTCCATGTTAATGCAGCGGAGGTAGGAACAAAAAGAAGGTGGTGAGGGGAAGCAAGGGGTGGTCTTTAGAGTGACATGAGAGGCAGTATTTCTTAGGGGAGAGTCTTACAGAGCCTGCCTGGGAGACACACACACTTAATCCAGCTGCCTGGGAGGGAGGGAGAAAGAGATCTCTAGAAGAAGGAGCAGGCGATTTTCAGCCCATCAAGCTGATACACACTCCCCACGTTACCAACCACACAAACAGGCTTTTCCTCAGACACACCACGGCAGGTGGCCTCTGCCTAGATCAGAAACCATCTTAATTAACTCACTGAGGTTTGAGCTGAGGTTTGGATCCTCCCCCCCACCCCGCTCAAGCGTGAGCAGAGTTAAGAGTTGGAGCTTCACTTTCTTCCCCAGTGCAGAGAGACCGCACGCCAGGCACGAGGCTCTCCACTCCTCCCTTCTCCCACTTTGCCTTTTCCTGGGCTCCTGTCCAGAGAATGACTGGCTCCAGTGGACCCAAGAGGAGGGACGCAGCCTGAGGATACAGTACAGCAGCTCCAGCCTTGCCTGCCTGCCTGCCTGCCTGCCTGCTGGGACAGACACTTGCAGTGAGATTTTACAAATCAGCAGCTCCAACACCTTCTGTGGGATTCCATGGACTTGATTTAATATTATTTTTTTCTGTCAACAGATCAGAAAGACTAGATTAAAGCTGGGCATAAAGACAGACAAACAGACGGACTGACATATGGACAGAGAGCAGTGGGCACTGCGGCGTGAATGTGGCAACTGGACTTCTCTTCTCTGTGGTTACTAAGACCAAACAAGGATAATAGCCAGAGCACTATCCTGTCCACCGAGGTAGTGGGTGGATGCAGCTTTCAGCAGACTGCTATAGGGGTAAGCAGAGACTGTATAGAAGCTACATACATCTAGTTGATCCATTCTGGCAATCATCAGAAAATGGACTTTTACTTCCAAGCAGATCTTTGTTGGATCGTTATGTCCGATATTATATATTGAACATTGTTTACAGAAACTTGCAGGACAAAGAACTGTGGAATTTCTTTCTTTTCATGGACTTGCTGCCCATGTTGAGTGGACTTCTGTGTAGATGAACGTGGAGTGTGTATCTCACTGAGGATGGCAGAGTGCATAAGGGCTGTGTATCTGACAGTGATGCTGCTGTATCTTGCTCTGCTGGCTACGGCTCACACAGCCCACAGCATCTACCCAAGGATACGGCTGTCCAACAAAGGTAAGAAAAACAGAGTTTTTCTGTTATAAGCTTTTAACCAACTTTGGAAACAAATAATGGTGTTGAACAAATGCAAATGCACCAATATAAAGGCAATGGCAGCCTTCAGGTGATGCAGCATGGTGTGTGTGCAACTGTCCAGAATAGTCAAGGCAGGATTCTGTGTTCACTGCATATTGACAATAAGATGGGTGTAACAGAACAGCATTTTCCACACTTTGATAGACCCCAACTCTCAGTTTATAGCAGTGGTCATTGCAGCATTTTGTTGGTACCACTAAAATTAACTAAGTCAAAGAAAGAAAAAAATGTACTGTCACCAAAGTGAAGTCAGAGACGTTTGAGTCAGGGTGAGTGAAAGAAGAAGGGTTGTCATTAACATGTTTTGAGGTGGTCACTGAAGATTTACGTTTTAGCCTTAGAGCCTGAGAGAACACCATGCATGGTTTGGATCTAAGAGAGGTGACTTCTGCTCTGCCTTTGTAATTGTGAGTGCATACTTTTTTTTTTTAGCTCACTGTTGATGTTCGAGGAGCCTCCTTGTAGTTTGTTTTGATCCTTTGGATATGGTGGCTGAGTATCCACAATGTGTCTTTCTCTCATTCCATAGCAGCAGAGCGATGGAGGAGGTTTTTGTGGACATGGGAAAGGAGGAAGCTGAGTATGAGGGAGAGAAAACTGTTTATGTGTATGCCTGTTTACGTGTGTGTGGGAGTGTGTGGTATGGATGTGCATCCGCTGGTATGCGGACTGATTGTTGTGTATCTCTTGAACAATAATGGGGGTTTTATCTTTGCAGATAAAAGTCTAAGTAAACATTGCCTTTTTTTTGCACAGTTTCTTTGAGCTCTATAGCAACAGAAGGTGATGATTCCACATAAGCCTGTTAGTCATGGTTGAATATAGGTGAGGAATTTGAATGGTCAATAACTCATAAATACGGTGCTGTGAGTCTCTTATGAGAGTTGACATGTCTGGTTCATCAGCTACATCTGTAAGGAGGGTTTGCTGTATTTTGATATATACTGCATACATTATTTCTCCCCTTTTTGCATGGTGGAATTTCTCAGCCACAAGAGAATACATATATAAATACAGTAATGAATTGAATGAATTTGAAAGATAAAGTGAGAGAAAAAGATGAGAAAAAGAGATTGGCACTTTTGACTACAGTAATGCAAAGTTATCAACAGAAGTGAGAATATTATTGCTGATATGCTTAGTCATAAATGCCACATCAATATCTGTTATGATCCTGACTTTTATATATCAGCCAATTCATTCAACCGCCTGAGGGGAAAGCTACTGCAGTGATTGACATCCCACCTCTCTCTCTCTCTCTCTCTCTGATGCATGTTCTGGCTAGCACAGAGCGCCATGAAAAGGCTGCAGTTGGATCCTATCATTATGGAATGAAAAACATATAAGCCTTAATGTATGCCTCAGGGGCTCTGCCAGTGAATTTTGCACACAAGTTCATACAAACTCACACCCACACAGAGAGAGACAGACACATGCACACATCCACAGGCGGAATAGTGCGAATTCTTCACACGCCGATGACTTGGATGCAGTTCAGGGAGATGGTGAGGGATGTGGTTTTAACTATTCACCCTTAGACTAAGAAAATATTAACATAACATCTGGTATCAAAACAGGGTGAAAAAACTAGATTCTCCTCTTTGAGTGAAAGATTGATAATGGGCAAGAAAAGTTAATAACATCAGTGCTGAAATATTTTTAATCCACTTCTGGTTAGGTGGGCAGTGGATACCAAGTGGATCAATAGAAATCCCGATGATATATCAGATCAACTTTCTCCTGGCTTCTGGGAATGAATTCCTTTGGGCACATTATCATGTGTTTCAAGGACGACCTTACTACCATGTGGTATGGATCGCTGCTTGCTTTGATGTTAGCCACACCTCACACATGGTGTAGAATTATTATTTGCTCTCTCTTTCATCTTTATAACATCTTCTTGTCTAGACTTCTGGACCAGTGAAGATTTTTCTAGATTTCCGCATTTGTTTCACTTTCATCCCAGTCATCCTTCCATAACACCCCCGATTAACTCCAGTTCCAAAAGGTTGTTACCTGAATCACATGGTGTATTCAGTTACAATCACGGACACTCTGCTGTCTTTAGAGAGAATTGACCCTAATCTTTGACAGCACAGCTTCCAAAGACCTTAAACACAGGCTAAAGATTGTGATAAACCTCAATTGCTTGGACCATTGGCCAATCAAACTCTCTAAACCCTGGTTAATTATACACAAAAATAGACACAAGGGAAATATAGAATAGAGAATAAAATGTACTATTTGTTTTGTACTCTTATATTATTGTTTTGTACCTTTGGACATCCATGAGATTTGGATCTGTATCGCCCAAGGCTATTGGCAGTAGCTTCAGATCTCCGGGCCTGTGGAGTGAAATGAGCTCTTCTTTTAGGACAACCATCAATTCTGCTGCTAATTAAGCTGTTGCACAGCTAGCATGTGTCAGAGTCCCAGCAGGCTGTAGGTAAAGGCTAAGATTTATTTAGGTGCCGCTATATAGCGCGGGCATCATGCTTGGTTTGAGCTGCTGAGCTTGATACAGCAGTTTTCATTATAGTGATGACCTTATCAGATGAATGACATTTCCAAAAACTCCTGCCTTCTGCGTAGTTTCATATGCTGGCTAATTTAGTGAGCTTTGCACTTGAAAGTGAGGTTGTGTTGGACATTCAGTCCCTGTTGAGTTCAGTCCTGTCAGTTCATTTCAATTCAGCAGTGATTTTGGACAAATCAGAATAATGCATTCCTGGTTTAGTGAAGCTTAAAATTTCTCCCGACTCACATAATAAATACTTGTCCAGAACAGCTCTGGCAATGGGCATTTAAAGAAACCAATGATCTGGGAAAGAAAATGGAAAAATCTCCAGAAGAATCTGAGAGAGTCTGTGCTATGTGATTTGAGCCAAACACACACACACAAAAAAAATCATCTTGTAAAATTCCTAAAATTGTCTTTCACATTCCTGAAAAACAACATCTGTTGTCAGGTTATTATTGTAGAGAAGCTTGTCTCTCCTAAAACATGTCTGAGCTTAGTAAAAGTGTTCATGAGGGCTGCTATGGCAAACACACAGAATAAAATGTGACCATTCCACAGTAATTAAATTGACCAGGGATTCACTCAGCATGCCTGCCAAAAATGCGTGTACTAAAAAGTTGGAATTGTTCTGTAAGATATTTAAAATATTTTCAGCAGATCTGTGAAGGTGAATAAAGTTATCTGGTGATGCTAAGCTGTTCTGACAGGTTTAACATTATACTGTATATGTTTGCTTATATAAATAAACATTGAAAAATGTTTCAACCCAACATTTATCTCATTGAAATTCTAAACAAAAGATCACTTGAAAGCTGAATTTACTCAAGTACAATGTATACATATGTGTGCACAAGACATATACTATTCTAAAACTGAATGACGTGAAGCAAATACACTGGTCAACAAATGCTTGAACTTCTTTAGACATTTCTTTTCTTCAGGACTTACTGTAAACTTGCGCGATTTAAGCAGGAGCTGAGGAACATGCATGTGTTAGCACAGGGACTCGGGTAGCAATTACTGATGTTTGAAACCCCCCTTTGAGCTGTAATTTTAAACCTTCCTCTCCAGACAAGAAAAAGCTCCCTCTATATATTTTACAACCTTGAAATGACGTGGCTGTAGGTGACTTTATTCAGAGAGTGAGATGGGGAATACCAATGGCCTGAAGTTGTGTCTGCCTGAAATGAACTGAAGAGGGGGAAAAAAATTTTCTATATAAAGCTAATGTGCAAATTGAGGAGTCCCATTAACTTTTTTCCACCTACATGTGGAGGGACCTATAATTAACATTTACCATGTTGGATCATTGCCATAGGGCAGTCATAGACTGTATATCAAACTGCTGGGAAATGGAGGGTATGGTGATGATTAGATAAATCACACCTTTTAGGTCAGCAAAAGAAAAATTATATTTTTTCAACCCCTTCCCCTCCCCTCCACGCTGACCTCTCCCTCTCTCTCTCTCTCCCTCCCTCTCTCTCTCTCTAGCGTTCTCATTCTGTCTGTGTACACCTCAGCGTCCTTTTCTCTCCCATTGTGTTATGTGTGTGCTCTCCAGTTCATTAATGAGATGTCCAGAGGGGAAGGCAGCTGGTGAAACTCTAATATCCTTTCTGACCTTTTCCCAGTGAAGGGACAGGGGAGAGGAGATGAGTTTGTGAAATGGGAAAAGGAGAGAAGGCACAAAGATTGTTTGAGTCTTCAGAGAGTATGTTGCAGTGAGATAACAGAGGGGGGCGAGAAAAAGATGAAGGATGACAAGTGAGGTGAAATTTGTGAATGAAAAGACACAGAAATGACAAGTGGATATTGCTTATTGTAGGCTGGCAGTTAAGAGCAAAGCAAAGCTTGTTTTCCTTTATTTTGCTATGACAACTTGTTGGGGCACAATGAAGGAATAACTTTAAAAGCAAAATAAACTGAATAACTAATACACTAACAAATGCAGTAAATACATCTATATGCAAGTTTAAGTTTGTTCAAAGTGTTCTGCTATACTTAAACATTTGAGCAGAGTTTTTTCAGTTGTTTTCTTTAGATATTCTGGGGAAATTACAGTTCATAAAAAAAGGTTTACACTTGATGGGGCTTTTGACATATAGCCGTACATTGACACACAGCAAGCCACATCAGTAATTTGGCCATGGTCATATACAGGTATGGTTGAAGCAACATAGTTTGGAACAGGTGGGTATACTTTGATTAAATATCAGTCTAAAACATCTGTTTGATTAAGAGGTGTGTTCGGATAATTTACAAGATTATGTCAGTTGTTAACAACACCAATCAGGAGATAGACTTACACTCTTTATTACAGAGAAACACACATTGCTCTCTTTCTCTCTCATCCGGCTCAGACACTCCATGTGGCTTTCATTTTGCTCTGTGACATCATCGCCCCCCTCACACACACACACACACACACACATACACACAAGAGGATATGGGAACACAGTCTCACTCAGGCCTTCGACGGCACGAGGAGAACAAACTCCCTCCTTATTCTTGTCCCCTTTAACTCTAGCCTTCTCCTCTTTGTTTCTGTTCCAGCACAAGTCCCATTACTCAATAAGTAAACCTCCATAGGCTTATTTCTCTGGAATTATGATACTGTCTTCCCCAAGTTTCATTTCTTACTTGAAATGTGTGCTGAGTATTATTTAATTTGTGTTTTTAAGTTTTCTGAGGAATGTTTTTTATGAACTCCTGTGTGCAGTTATCTTGGTGTCTTTGACAAAACATGCATATTTCCCCCTGCTACTAAGAGACATATAATCTAAAGTAGATTTCTTCTGCACAGACACACTTATTTTTCTCCCCTGTGTAGGAAAACAGTGTTTCCATACATGAATAAAGAGGAGATCACAAAGTTTATTTTGATTTCACTTCACCAAATCTTCTCAGGCATCTTCTTAGCGGTTTTCAGACAGCCGATGAAAGTGTCTGTCTTGAGGGAGTCCTTTTTCTCTGTGTTTTCCATTTGAAGTGGGATCACAGTAGGGCCATGTGTCTTCATGGCTCAGTTGCTGATGGAGACACCCTCCTCCTCCTCTCAGCTCTTTAGCTGATGGCTAAGGAGCCCTGACTTGTTGAAGATTGCAAGAAAATCTTGGAGAGGAGAGAGAGAGCAAGGGGAAATGTGGAAATCCCCCCTTTGCCTCCTTCAGTATGCACAGTGGCTACAACTGTTTGTAACTGGCGCACATAATGACAGAGGAGAAACCTTTTAAACAGCATTGTGCACTCTGAAGCATCTCTCAGTGTGTCAGCATAATCACATCTTCCAGTTGTGTTTTATAGTAACTCTGTAATCATGTGCAATTAAGCCGATTACTCAACACCTTTTATTATAAATGTGATTATAGTTTCTTATCACTTAGATTGGTACACTCGTGGGAAATGGATCTTTCTTGCTTGATTGTTTTCTTTCACTCATTCTTTTCAGTTTCAAGTTTCAAGCTGGTTATTTTAGAGTTTTATCCTTTAATCACATGAGCGTGGCACGGAAACATTCCTGATCATCAGTGAGCACTGTACATCTAAAATATCATTTGCACAATTCTACATATATAAACAAAATTATAGAATGAAATGTATCTGCGTTTGTGTTTATGTGTGTGTGAGAGAGAGAGAGCGAGAGAATGTGTTCAAGTCCATATCGCTGTGTGCATGTGTCTATATAAATCAGCTGCCAATCATCATTATTAACAAGGACATGTGAAAAGTAGATGGAAAAAAGGGGTTGGCTAGGCACTGTTTACCCCATCACTTTAAATAGCCATCTAAGTCTGTCATCTAAATAATTGGTAGCAGATTTGACTTCACACAAAGACTGCTGCTGATTGTTTGAGAGCCAGCCCAACACTTATAGAAAAGTTAGAGTGGAATGTCAGAGGACTATCCCTGATCCAAGTTCGGCTTAATACAGGGAGAAACTGTGAGTATATAGAGGGGAGAGACAGTGTATGTGTGTGTGTTTATGTGACCGAGACAGAGAGAGAAAGAAAAAAAGCTTCAAGTGTGTGTGGATTAGATAATTACAGGAAGCATGTCTGAGCCCTGGCAGAACACCACTGCCACATCCTTTTAGTCTCTGCCACCTAACTACCCGAGATCCTATGCTATGCTTGTTTTCTCCAACCTAAAAATCTTAATAGCAACAACCACCCCTCTGTGGATACTTAATCCCATGTTAAACAAACAAAACCTTCCACGCTTTTGCTATGAGTAATCTAAAAATTGGGGAAAACAGTCTCTCCTTCTGTCTTGGAGATCAAGTGTCACTAAAAATATACAGATGTTATAAAAACAAATCACACAATTACCCCCTGCAACCCCAGCATGTGGAGACATCTCAGCATTATTTGAGGAAGTTGAAAGGTTGCTATAATATTACAGCCATACATTCATAGCTGATGGTAGCCATGTTTTGTGTGTTCTTTTCATTTAGTTTTCTGAAGAGTAGTCTGTGGACAGCTTAAGTGTGCATTAAAGTACAGCATATGCATACAATACAGCCCGGGAAATACTAGTGCTACACATTTGATCAAAAACCCCGGGTTGTCTGCTTCAATCTGTCTGATGTTTCAAAAGTTCTGCTAACACAAACCAGATCCGCCTTTCTTCCTTTTCAAGGACACCTGGTCATGTGTTAATGAAAGGTTTTTCAGGGCAGTGCAACCCAGAGGAAATGCACACCTCTGGGGCTTCAGCACTTAGTTTAAACCCTAAACCTCTCCAGAAGCTCTCAGACAGCAGGTATAGAGAAGCAGCCTGTCAGGCTCAATCAGGTAGATATAACTGGGTGTGTTGCATGTTTAGGTGTATGTTATCACGCAAACTATCTGTGTCTTCTTGTTCTGTGGTTATTCTGATGAGTGTGTGTTTATATTTGATGACATATTTGTCATGGTCCACTCCCTCTTTTTTAAAGAAGAATTTCAAATCACCTAACGCAAGACTGACAGGGAGTGGCGGCTCAAACTAATGACTGATAAAGAGACTGGTTCAGTTTCCTGTCTGATAAAACTCCTTCCTCCTGGTAAAAGAGACCATAGGCCACACTGTGTACATCAAATGTCCATCCCATTAATCACAACATCTTTCCCAGGACTGATATCCCACTTCTTTCATCCCTGCTTCCTTTATGGTTTCCAAAGTGTCCTTGCAGTCGAGCTTTGTCAGGGTCAGCAGCATTCCTTAAAGCAGTAATTGGTATGTAGCCTGGGAACTCGGCTTTTAGCGGCATGTACTGTTTTATACTGTGTGAATTTTTACTGATGATAAAACACAAGATGCGATGTAATTTTACGACCAAGGCAATGTCACATAGATAGCATACATAACATAGCTGAATTGAGTGAGAGGAGGCATAGGTGCCACAAGAGAGTGAGCGATGAAATGGAAAGATAACCCTGTTGTTGCTCTCTGCTATTCTCTTGGGGAACCTTGAATCAGAAACACATGTTGCAAGTGCCCTTGGCCATGGGAGCAGTTGGTTACTGGAGCAGTTAGAAATCTCTTGAGGAAAGGGTTTGGTCAAATTTGATCTTGCTGGTTAGTGCAGGCAAGAAGCAAGATGAGTATCCACTTTTGAAATGAAAACTTTGTCCATCTATCTAGCTAGCTAGTCAGCTACCCCTTTCCCTACCCAGACTTCTATTGTGTTGCTGTAATTACTTTTTCTTTTCCTCTGTGTGCGTGTTGTTGTCTACAGAGCTTTGGCAGCTGAACAGAACCTGGGTGTTCCAGGGACATGGAGCGTCCCTTCAGCCCCAGACCATGCTGCTGGATGAAGGCCACGAGAGGCTTTATGTTGGGGCTAGAAATACTCTGTTCTCCCTTAGCCTGGACCAAGTTAACACACACCACAGAGAGGTATATTTCCTTTCCTCCATGCCTGTTTGGAAGTGAGACATGGTGAACTCACACACCCGTAGGTCAACAGGTTAGCTAACCCATGTGTGCATGGGGGTGTCTTCATAGTTGTGTAATTTTTAATAAGAAACTGAAAAAGCAGCACAATAACCCTGTGAGATTATTATGCTGTGGAAAATAATGCAGTGTATTTAAAATTATTTGGTAAAAATGTTTAACTATACACCTAACTATATAAATTATGTTCAAAATATTTAATAATTGTTTTTTTAATTTAGATAATTTGATGTTGTAAATATGAGTGCAACTGTGTTTTCTTTCAGATCAAGTGGGCCAGTACAGAATCTCAGATAGAGGAGTGTTTGATGAAGGGGAGGGAAAAGGTAAGGGACACCCTCCAAATGACTGCATCAAATCATTGATTAGCAAGGGCGAAGGACAAATGCCCACTTGATAATGTGCATTAACCTTTATAAATAGAGTATAATTGATTTATTAAATATGTAGATGGAGACAGTTGATGTCAACATGGATTTATATACATATATCTCTATGCTTATTAACCTTTGTTTAACATGAAATATAGATGTTATTGATGATGCAGTAAAAGCCTGCCATTTTTAAATTATACCCTTTTCTCTGCTTGGCCTTAATCCACAGTCATGACCCCTCACCCAACCACTCTCTCCCACACCCCAATTTTCCCACCCCCTGCTTCATCTCTGTATCTCCTCCAACAGCTGGAGTGTGCAAACTACATCAAGGTCTTGCAACAGTACAACCAGACCCATTTGCTGGTCTGTGGAACAGGAGCCTTTAACCCCATCTGTGCCCTGGTCAGAGTGGGACACACAGGGCAGGTGAGTCCCAGAGACAAAATTAGAGTTGAGTTTAACAACCAAATAATTAAGTGGCTTTCAAAGGGTTTAATCCTGTCAGAGATCTTTTCAAAGTCAAACAGCACTTTGACATTACTTGGCTGTTAGGGTTTGGGGGTTTTCACTGTAAATGGTGGCGGCAAAACAGATTATGTCAATGAAAATGTTGCAGATTTTGTCTTTATACAGTCAACCAGATTTCACATTGCGCTCTTTTACTATACTATACACTCTTCCCTCTTTATATGGCCATAGCTGAAACCTTCCTTACACTGTTTTAAAACCATTTTTGGTAGGATCTTCTATAACTGTTAGTACAGCTTGGACTGCTGAGCAGTTAAACTCTTAAACTCTATTAAATTAATGAGTTTATCCTCCTAGTAACAAGGAGTGATGTGAGGTGAAGATGGGAAAGACAGTGAGTAAGAGCTGGTGGAGTCTTTTGTGTGCATACTGATGTGCGTGCAAAATTGCCTGCATACATCTGTGCAACCATATTTGTCTACTAGTGTGTGTGTGTTTGTGTGTGTGTGTGTTTAGAGAGGGAGGAGCAGAGAAGGTTTCCACCCTGCATTCCAACACTGGTCCAGTTACATTGACCAGGCCAGTTACACGTTCCAAACAGGAATCACCCTCACTCATATCATTGAAATGCTCATAGAATGAGCAAAACTGGTTCAGTATAAGCAACATAATCTATGAGACTGCCTCACATAAATGTCATACTTGGTGTCTTAGATTATATTTTGTTGGTGATTACCATCAAACTTGAACTGAATAATATTTACAGAATGATTAACTATGATAATAAAAATATACTATTACCATTTATTAACACCCACTGACTATAAATAAGAAATATTTAAGAAATAAGGTATTAATGCACCACTGGCTCAGACACACAAAAAACAGCCCACATTTCAGGGTACTGCATGTAGAGTATTGATTCTCAATTAGGTTTTAATAGACCACATTATATGATGGATGAGTTTAACCCAAAAACTGACTTCTGTTATGGTTATACGTGGTAGTCCCAGCATAGTAGGGTTCCCTGGGTACTCATAAATCAATATATGACATCCCCTCTGATCTGCCAGTGACAGTCATAAACACTGTGGTGAGCCACAACATATGAGCTGGGGTTCTAGAAGAACTTCAGGGCATGGATATGTGTGTGTGAGAAGGGGTATGTGCGTGTGTGTGTGTTTCTGCCACCTGCTGTGTATGGCAACAAGATCAGAAGAGTAGAAGTGAACTGATATCCATGATAAAAGAGCATAGTCAGTTATTAACATTCACACACAACAATCTATCATTTGGTCATCCATGACTTCTTATCTTTCTTTCTTCATCCTTCTCCTTCATTACCTTCTGATCCCTCTTTTATCTAATTCACCTTTATCTCTCTCTCCACCCATCACCTCCTGGGGTTTGTCTGGATGTTGTTAAAGACTTTGCAGGGTGCAGCTTTTGACTGTGTGATTGTGGTATTTATAGTCGTGCATATTTGTGCATGAATAACAATACCTGTATCTGTCTGTATTTTGTGTGTTGCCCTTAGGACAGGCTGTTTGCTCTTGAAGAAGAAAGTATTATGAGTGGCAGAGGACGCTGTCCATACGAGCCCAGCAGTCCCTGCACGTCCACACTCTCCAGTAAGACACTGCTCACTCATCACCTCACCATCACCTGAGCTAAAAGCACAGTTACCAGACTAAAATGTATGTTTTCATTTCAGCTGGATGAATACATAGCATGCAAATTCTCAGGATTGCTCACTTTGTTGACCTTCAGTAAGACAATACTGCCATCTTGTGGTCTTTTTTCATGTCAATATTTTAAAGCAAGGTGGGGTTGCAGTTTTAATAACTAATGCATTGTTATCAATTGAGGATTTGTGTGTGTGTGTGTGTGTGTGTGTGTGTGTGTGTGTGTGTGTGTGTGTTTACATTAGGAGGAGAGCTGTATATTGGCCTGTACACTGACTACTGGGAGAATGATGGTGCTTTGTGTCGACTTAACAACCAGACCTACACACGCACTGAAAGAGACGACAGGCAGCAGCTCAATGGTTAGTGCACATTACAGGGAAACAATCACATCTCCCTTTAAATGCGGGGGAAGAACAAACATATGTAGTATGTGGTAATAAATCTGAAGTATGTTTTCAAAAATATATCAAAATAGTGTGACAGTCCAGAGATGTAATGATTCATAGTGTAAATATTTTGTATGTATATCACTTCCAAAACCTAGTAGTTTCATGATTAATAATCAAATTAATTGAGCTGCTCATTAAATGTTAAAGAAATGTGACACTGGCCAAGATGTACTGTATATACAGTAAGTATGCAGTCCACATGATGGCAAATAACTGTTCTCATATGACTGGTTCTACAGTATATGAGGATTCATGAGCTTGTGATTTTTAAATAATTCACATAACTATTTCTCTCAGACCTGGCTTGGCAAATATTAACTTATTTTTAAGAGATGAACAGCATATAAATTCAATTCAATGTAATTACATTTTATTTATTTAGCGCCGTTTCATAACAGATCTTATCTCATTGCACTTTTTATAGAAAGCAGGCCTAGACCATACTCTTTGTAATATAAGTATACAGGGCATACTGTTTTCTCCAGTACCAAATCAATACCACTCTTTCACTACATTTTAACTCTGATTCATTACAAGACTTTTGTTACAAATTCTTCTTCCTACAGAACCTAAGTTTGTGGGTTCAGCAGTTATTCCTGACAACGATGACAGGGATGATGATAAAGTTTACTTCTTCTTCACTGAGCGAGAGAAGGATGCTGGGGGAGTGAACAAGGCAGTATATACTCGTGTTGGGCGAGTTTGTGCGGTGAGAATGCTAATGCTGTAGAAAGATTTCTGGGCACCAGCCATCCAAAGTACTGCACTCACATTCTATATTTGCCTTCATCCCTCAGAATGACCAAGGAGGCCAGAGGATGCTGGTGAATAGATGGAGTTCCTTTTTGAAAACTCGTCTTATCTGCTCCGTGGTTGGACCAAATGGCATTGATACACACTTTGATGATCTTGGTAGGGTTACAAGGAGTCTGTGTGCATGGCATCATACTTATTCATTGTTAAATTGAGCTTTTAAGCTTGACAGAACACACACATCTGCATGTACATCCCTCAACATTTGGAGAGTCACCGTGGTGTTTCGTTAAGTTGTATGTATGACTTGGAGTAGAAGTAACCAATATGTCTTAGTAAAGCAACACAACTCATCACTTGGAATTGTTTCCATAAGATGCACATCCAGTAAGTGTAGCGTGACTAAAAGCCTAGTGTGTGCCTCTCATGTATTGCCATTACATTCAAGTCACAGAGCTAAGCTGTCAGTTTACAGAAAAATAGATAAAGGGAGATCTTTGAAAAACCCAGAAAGTCATTTACCAATGCTTACTGCTGTTCTGAAGGTATTTCCAAAATCCACAAAGGCTCTATCCATCTGGATGGAAGACATATTTATAGTCTGCTGCAGGATGAAAAAGATTTTAACTACCCAACCTGTAAGGAGTAATAAGTTGTGGATTTACTCAAGTGCCATTTTGTTATACTTTACTTAAGTATTTTCATTTTCTTCTACTTTAGAACTGCTACAATATAAGTACAAATTGGAGGAAAATATTGTACTTTACTCTCATACTGATACAAAAAATTTATATAATATAAATGATATATTATGATGATTTATAAGATAAGATGTTATCCAGTTAATCATTCAAATTAGACCCACCTTTACCAGCTCCAACATTGTTATGCATCAATAATTATAATCCAATAATGTAATACATATAATTCTGAAATAGGCATATTTTGCATAGTAAGTACTTTTACTTTGGCACTTATTTTTATTATTATCACTATTTGGTATTATTTTTATGCCAATAAGTTAGTACTTTTACTAAAAGTTTAAATGCAGAGCTTTTACTTAAACAGAGTATTTCTATGCTGTGGTATTGCAGCTTTTATTTAAAGCCAGAGTATGGGACATTTAAATATAAATGAGCATCTGTTGCCTAATGAGTTCACACAATGCTGATTAAGCCTATCACTGCCAAGTAAATCTCTCTGTATTTCGCAGTATAGAGAAGCAACTGTAGTGACAGCAGCAACTCAGTATGGCAGGGCACTTGTCAGCAGTGTTGTGTAATTACTATCACTGTCAGAAGGGGGAGACAAAACGTCCGCACTGACGGTTTAAGTAAAAGAACTCAGTCCTTCTTTCACCAATGCAATGATTTTCAAGACACTGATTTACAAATCTCCCAAAGCACTGTCTGTATTTAACAAACTATTTCAACCAGGGGCGTAGCACAAAATTCTGGACCCTGTAGGCTACATAGGCTTTCTCTATGGGCACCTCCTTGCGTCCACGGCTGTTCATTCTTTTATCTTTGTGTTCCATCCTCACATGAGGGCCATGTATACTCTAAATTCTACATTTGCTGTTTCAGAGGATGTCTTTGTGCTCAAAAGCAAGGATGGGAAAAACCCTGAAATCTTTGGCCTCTTTAGCACAACAAGGTGAGTGGAGGATGACATCAGCATTCCATTATACAGTCACAATTTGAGTATCCATCAAATCACACATAAAAACTTCTTTTGCAGTGCGGTCTTTAAAGGCTATGCAGTGTGTGTCTACCATATGGATGATATCAGAGCTGCCTTTAATGGTCCATTTGCCTACCGAGAGCGACCTGAGCATCACTGGACACCGTACGAGGACAGAGTCCCTTACCCTCGACCTGGATCTGTGAGTTTTAATGTGTGAATAAAATGATGTTTATGGGATTTCATTCCCTGATGCACCAACATTATGCATTCACAGCACTCTCCATTAGTCTGTGTCGGCAACAGATGTCCTCTAAGAGGGGACAGTGTTGAGAGCATGTAGGACAGCTCTTGTGAATGTCAGCACTGTTGTAGCTACCTCAGTAGGTCATACAGGGACAGCCTGATCTAGACTAAAGCTTGTCAGCTTTTTTTTCTACACTGCCTGCCGACACAATTACTGGCCCTCTTCTGTCTCTGTCCCTGCTCCTTCTATTATACTCTCTATTTCTGTCACACCATCTCTTTAACAGTGTGCAAGTAAAGTGAACGGCGGTGGCTTCTCCAGCTCTAAGGAGTTTCCTGATGAAGTTTTACGGTTTGTGCGTTCTCACCCTGTGATGTATCGTCCAGTCCTGCCCCAGCACCGTAGACCTGTCCTGCTGCAGACAGATTCAAGCAGGAGAAAGCTGACTCAGATTGCTGTGGACAGAGTCCAAGCCCAGGATGGACACTACCACGTTCTCTACATTGGAACTGGTACACACACTGTGCTGAATAAATACTTATTGTGCTTGATCTATAATGGCATGCAAGACTCTTTGCAAAATGAAACACAAACAGGAGATACTCTGAATATTTGGGGCTCATACATACTTGATGTGACGTGTTTATGGCATAAAGTCATATATTAAAAAATATTAGTGGATCACTAATATTGCATTGCATTTACTGAAGCAGTTTTGAACCTGCATCTCTTGTGTAAGCAACAGTGTAACATTTATGTCTTCTTTCACTAGATGACTCAGTTGTGTTGAAAGTTATCACCATCTACAACAAAGACACAGACACTATGGAGGAGGTGTTGCTGGAGGAGCTGCAAGTATTCAAGGTACTCTATTTTTAACTACAAAATGTGAAAGCAAAGTAGACTTTGTAAAACAAAAAATTCTGTATTTCACTGCATACTTATCGTAGTCCATTATTACTGCGGCTACACTATAAGAGGGATTTTTTGAAAACACTTGATTGCTGATTTGCATCCTTTCCATCATCAGTGGGGCACAAGTCTGATTGTGCAGCCAGCCCGCTGAGAGATCTTCAGAATTATTTGAATATATTTCTACTTAGATCTTTTACATTTTAAAATACTCTACACATACACACACACACACACACACACACACACACACACACACACACACATACATATAAAAATATTCTGCTATTTTAATTAAGACCTGATTTGGGATGGATAGAAGCATGACGGGAGGCCTCCAGTGACAAAGAACTTTATATCAGCTTTTGCTACCTTATTCTTTTAACATATAATGAACCACGGATTCAACTTAATTTTTGAATAACCGTAAAAATGTTTCCTATTCGCAGGAGCCAGCACCAATAAGAGAGATCATAATATCACCTAAAAGGGTAAGGATCCTGATGTTGTTCATTAATGCAATTCTGCTGTTTAGCCACAAGATGTTAACATTGCAACACTTCTCATCACTTTGTATAGACATACAGGTGCTGGTCATATAATTAGAATATCATCAAGTTGATTTATTTAAGTAATTCCATTCAAAAAGTGAAACCTATATAATGTATACATTCATTCCACACAGACTGATATATTCAAGTGTTCATTCCTGTTAATTTTGATGATTATAACTGACAACTAATGAAAACCCCAAAATCAGGATCTCAGAAAATTAGAATATTGTGAAAAGGTTCATTATTGAAGACACCTGGTGCCACACTCTAATCAGCTAATTAACTCAAAACACCTGCAAAGGCCTTTAAATGGTCTCTCAGTCTAGTTTTGTAGGCTACACAATCATGGGGAAGACTGCTGACTTGACAGCTGTCCAAAAGACGACCATTGACACCTTTGCACAAGGAGAGCAAGACACAAAATGTCATTGCTAAAGAGGCTGGCTGTTTACAGAGCTCTGTGTCCAAGCACGTTAATAGAGAGGCAAAGGGAAGGAAAAGATTTGGTAGAAAAAAGTGTACAAGCAATAGGGATAACCGCACCTTGGAGAGGATTGTGAAACAAAACCCATTCAAAAATGTGGGGGAGATTCACAAAGAGTGGACTGCAGCTGGAGTCAGTGCTTCAAGAACCACCACGCACAGACGTATGCAAGACATGGGTTTCAGCTGTCGCATTCCTTGTGTCAAGCCACTTTTGAACAAGACACAGCGTCAGAAGCGTCTCGCCTGGGCTAAAGACAAAAAGTGGACTGGACTGCTGCTGAGTTGTCCAAAATTATGTTCTCTGAAGAAAGTAAATTTTGCATTTCCTTTGGAAATCAAGGTCCCAGAGTCTGGAGGAAGAGAGGAGAGGCACAGAATCCACGTTGCTTGAAGTCCAGTGTAAAGTTTCCACAGTCAGTGATGGTTTGGGGTGCCATGTCATCTGCTGGTGTTGGTCCACAGTGTTTTCTGAGGTCCAAGGTCAACACAGCAGTCTACTAGCCAGCAAACTCACCTGACCTTAACCCTATAGAAAATCTATGGGGTATTGTGAAGAGAAAGATGCGATACACCAGACCCAACAATGCAGAAGAGCTGAAGGCCACTATCAGAGCAATCAGGGCTCTCATAACACCTGAGCAGTGCCACAGACTGATTGACTCCATACCACGCAGCATTGCTGCAGTAATTCAGACAAAAGGAGCCCCATACTTTTCATGTTCATACTTTTCAGTTGGCCAACATTTCTAAAAATCCTTTTTTTGTATTGGTCTTAAGTAATCGAATTTGAGATTTTCATTAGTTGTCAGTTTTAATCATCACGATTAAATGACATAAACATTTGAAATATATCAGTCTGTGTGTAATGAATGAATATAATATCCAAGTTTCACTTTTTGAATGGAATTACTGAAATAAATCAACTTTTTGATGATATTCTAATTATATGACCAGCACCTGTACATAAACTTTGATTCCATTCAAACTGTGTCTTGATATTAATGGTCTGTGCTGTTGGCTCCACAGCAACAGCTGTATGTGGGGTCAGAAGTGGGTGTGGCCCAGCTCAGGCTGCATCAGTGTGACCTCTATGGCTCAGAATGTGCTGATTGTTGTCTGGCCAGAGACCCCTACTGTGCCTGGGATGGTCTCACCTGCTCCAGATACTACCCTGCTGGAGTCTACACCAAGAGGTAACAGCACACACACTTCGAGACAGGTGTGTGTATTTGTGTGGTGTCAGCTGTTTACACCTTTACCAGCACTCTTCTGTTCCATCACGGCATCTTGCCCTGAATGTCACAATGCTCTGAGGATGGTTTACCAAGTCATTATCACAGGCTCCGAGAGACATGACAGCCAGGTTATGTTATGTAATGCTTATCAGCATGCACTTAACCTCCTCCAGTCTTTTCTCCCTCTCTTTCCCCCTCTTTGCTTTGTTTCTCTCTCCCCTTTCATCTGTCTCTTGCACTTTCATCCCATGTTAAGAATGACTCTATCTTTAATTCCCTCTCTCCCATCTCAGTAGACGATTCAGGCGGCAGGATGTTCGCCATGGCAACGCAGTCCAGCTGTGCAATGGGCTGCAAATTGATGGTTAGTGTATAAAATGACTGTGTGTGTGCACGGGCATGCTTGTGTGAACTTATATTGCAACATTTTGTCAGACAAATACTGTGTACAAGCAAGGGAATGATGATTCTTCAGAAGCACTAGACTGAATATGAAAAAATATGAACTCTTCATGTGTCATTGCAGTTGGAGGTGAGAGAGGTACGATGTGCTTCTACTGTGGCAGTAGATTGGGGTAGAACAATCCACTTCAGCTAATAAAAGGTCACGGCAATTCTTTGCCATCTCTCTTGCCTCACTATCGTTTCTGGTGTTTGTGTGTAGATGAACAATGGCACAGAGCTCAGGAGAGGCTGGTGTATGGTGTGGAGAGCAACAGCACTTTACTCGAGTGTGTCCCTCGATCACTTCAAGCCAAGGTACTCTGGTTCTTGCAGAAAGGAGGAGAGAAACATGAGGTGAGTTTCAGGGACCTGTATCTTCACTGAACACAGAAATGAAATGATGCAATACACTGGAAAAATAAAGGTAGAGTGGTGGTCAAGTATTGAAACTTTAATCATGCGTTGCCCCTTCCTCCAGTTGTGTAATACACTTTCAAAAACACATTTTTCTTCTTACCCCTTTTTGATCTGTCTAGTTGTGCAGATAGTTTGACTTGACATGACTACTTCAGTGCACTTAGGGTGAAAAGGATGTAATAAACGGTGCTCAAAGTAACAAGTACTTACAGTTACACAGTGAGGTTTGTGGACGGCCCCGAGTAACTAGGATCTTGTTCCTGGAAAGGGACATTGTTGTTGGGTATCTATATTTAATTTTTCAATGCCTAGAGCACCACAAACAAAATTACATTCTCCTTTATTGTACTGGGCTAGAGACTAAATAGTATATTACAGCAAACAGAAACTTGTAATGGTTATATACCTCACAGAACCTTAAACACAGAAGTCACTGTATTGATTGCACTATTGAAAACCTTCCATTCCTTAATCTATCCTTTACTTAGTTTAGTTCTGCTGGTTTTTTAATTCCTCTTGGGAGAAGAACAAATGCAGCAGCAGTGCTGCAAATGTCTGAATGCTAGACTTAAATAATGGCTACATCAGTGGCTGGGAAATAAATCATTTCACTTTTTTCCGTCCGTGTAGGTTCGAGGTGATGAACGGGTTATCATGACCTCTCATGGGCTGCTGTTTTTACAAGTGAGAAGCTCCGATGCTGGTGTGTACATGTGCCAGACTGTGGAACATGGATATGTGCACACATTATTACGTATCTCTTTACACGTGCTCAGAGGAGAGAGGGTGGAGTCAGCGATCCACAAGGCTAACGACGGGGAGGGAGAGAAAGCTGCAGCTCCATGCCACTCCTCCGTGGGCCCCCCACCAGGCCCCAGCATCAGTCCCAGGGCTCTGGTGCCATCCTCAGTCCCTGGCCCCCACTCCAGGCTGTGGTACAAGGAGTTTCTACAGCTGATTGGCTACGGGGATGCCCAAAGAGTAGAAGAGTACTGTGAGAGAGTATGGTGCTCTGATAAAAAGCGTAAAAAGACCAAAAGGAAGTATGTTTCTCCAGGTGGCGAGAAGAGAGGGAAAGGGAGGGGAGAGGAGAACTCCCACCGAGCGCCGAGGCACACCTTGGGAACCTGAGGAGAACAGACTGACTACACACACACATGCACAGACAGACAGACAGACAGACACACACACGCACGCACGCACGCACACACACACACACACACACACATACACATACACATACACATACACACAGACTGGCTAAAGGTCAGACTCACTCAGTGTTTGCACCATGTAAAAGGTTTTCACTTAGCTTTCAACAAGAGCAGTAACAGAAAAACAACAGTAGCAGGCTGTCCGGCTATTGTAGCTACATTTATCACAGTTAGACTGTGATGTTTCTACTTATTTTAAAAAAGAAACATTTTATGTTTTTGTGTGCTATAAACTGATTATCTGGTGCAGACCCTGAGACATTATAAGTGTCAGAGTCAGTACAGAGCAGAGGCCCTGGGAGGAGATGGAAGACTGATTAAGCGACGTTGCCTCTGATCTGAAGAGACAGAATATAATATGTCAGCTCCTGCAGACTGACCCGGCCCAACCCAGCTGTCAATCCAAACGCACACAGAGACTTCTACACTAAATCTGTGCTCCACCTCTCATTCAATGGCTCAAATGACAAACTCTTACAGTATCTATTACGAGAGAAAACAACTATGTTAAAGGTGATGGCCTTCTAGTCTTTTTTGGTACTATAATAACTTATTTTCTTGTTCTCTACTTTAAATTTTGTAGTTGTTTAGATGTCATAAACTGGAATATAGAGTGTCTTGTGTTTTTGTACAGTGAAAAATGCTTTGAGCTTTATGATACTGCTTATTTGATTATAATGTGGTCGTGGTGTGTGTGGTTAAAATGACCACAGTGCATACAGTAAGATGTTGCAATGCCACTATAATGAATATTTGAGGCATGTTTTAATTATAGTTATGCCCTCATTGGAAATAATTACTATTTAAGCACTTGTAAAAACTGTTACAGTAGATGAAAAGTTGTCCTTTAAGTGGATATTATTGTTATTGTAAGTGTCTGTATTTACATCTACAATTGTGATCAAATGTACCAACAGTATTGTATTGTATATTGTATTTATCTAAAATTCAGGGTGGTATTCGTGTGCATCTGGCCACTATAACTGTGTATTTAAAAAGTCATCCTTCTGTGCTGTCTGTTCCCTCCCTCTCTCTCTGTCTCTCTACCTCGCTCTCTCTTACTAGTTCTCCCTCTATCACACACACACCATTGTTTGTCTGTAACAATGTTACAGATGGGACTAAACAATTACCACCACAAACAGCAATGTAGAACACCACATTTCCCTCGGAAGAAAAAAGACAAATAAATGTTAGGGTAACCATCCAAGCATGTCTTTTTGCAAAACTGATGAGTCAGTCTCATGAATATTCAGTTAATTCTGAGGTGACAAACATCTTATGTTAACAGTGACATGCATTGTAGTGGTTGTTCTACTAATAGAGTCTGGAGGATAGCTTTTTTTTCCATGTCGTCCCGTATTTATCTCTAAATTTGGTCACTTTATAGTTTTGACCTTGTTGCCTTTACCGTGTTACCATAATGTGGTAAAAACAATCACTTGGTCTCTGTCTAGGCCTTATATCGTCACTCATCATTCTCCTTGAATATTGTTAAGAGAGTTTTGACTTAGGTTGAAAATGTTGTGTCTGCTATACCCCTTATAAACACTTGCCATCAAAAAAAGATGGACCATCAATCCCTAGTGTCACCTCTGTGGTTTAGCCATTAATAATGAGTTAGTATACACACACACACACACACACACACATTGAGAGACTGAGCCAATGAAGCAGAAAGTAAGAGGTAGAGAGAGGGAGCCTTGTGCAGCAGTCACTGATTCCAACTGAAATAAAATAAAATAAACTGAGATTTCTGTATCATAATTATGCAATGCTGTATTTCATCAGGTGAGTCTACATAACATTTAAAAAGTTACTTTGTTTCCTAATGTCTTGTAATGTGCCATATGCTGGTGAAATACCAGTAAGGACTGGTTCTCATAATTTTTTTCCTCACAGTAAGATGTGCACTGGGACACCATACTCATTCAAATTCTGTCAAGGTCTACCTGAGCTGGTGGGGTGCTGAAGGCATTTGAGAATGGAATTCACGCTGCTGATTTATTCCACATGGCTACCATAGCAACAGGCTCTGAACCAGTTCAACTGCCCTCATCAAAGCTCCCTCTTCTCTCTCTACCAAGTTTTAACACCCACTTCGTCCATCTAGCCAATGGACCCTCTCGCCCAGTGGGAAATAAAAATAACAGAGCTTGCTAATGCTATCACGCTGACCAATCATTTATTTTATTTCAATCAAATTCAACTTTTATTTGTTGCTCCTCAATATTGTTAAAGATTGATAAGAATTCAGTCTGTTTATGTGTGTCGGTGGTGGGGCATGAGCTTCTTTTTGGTTTCTGATGGGGGGCTGCTCTACCCACTCATGCGTCTCACTCTAATGTATGAGACTAATCCTCCTAGTTAAGCTTAAAAGTGGCATTTTTTCTTCTGGGAGTGAATCTGGAATTTGTCTGCTGGATGGAGCTTCTGAACCCACAGACAGATGCCATCTGAGCAGCTCTGGGAACAGATGCAAAAATAGAGCTTGAATGTGGAGCTGCATACATATTTTTTCTTACTGAAATACATTTCAAGGTTCAGGGGCCAATTTAATGTAGCGAAATGCTAGAAATCCATTAATAGATCTACAAAGGGATCAAAAGGTCAAAGGCCATAAAACATGGTTCTGTCACTGTGTGAAAATGACACTCCTCTCCCCTTTTTCCTGCCGCCTTTGTTTCCCCCACACAGCGCTTTTTCTATCAGACGCCAATGTACCAGAACACTTTATTACAAGTGAAAATGTCAGACAGGGAAGGAGAGATTATAAGGCAGCAGAAAATGAACATTGGAAGACAAACGGTAAATGAACCTCTACAGCTAGTAACAAATCACATGTCACTGTGGACAGAATACTCTGTGTATGTGTGCTTTATGTTTTTGCAACTCCTGTCTGTGTTTGCATGCAAGTCTTCATGGGCATGTTGGTGTAAATAAGGATGAAAGCCCAGCAGATATGATGTGTCTCTCTCTCTCTCTCTCTCCTTCCTTTGATTTAGCGTTATCAGTGACATGCAAAGCTAACCTGATACACACATCTGAAGCACATCCCCATGGCAAAATGTCTCTCGCTTCCATACCAGTCACTTCATGCACTTCATAAACTCTGTCATCATCCTGACCTGTGAGCTACAGATGAAAGCCTCTGAGAAATAAATAGTTGTTCATAATCAGGATTTAGCTTCTCGGCATTAATTAAGATCCATATTACAGCACCCTGTTGCACTGCAGTGCAATATTTCCATAAAATTCTCCTTGTTGGATTTGCTCAACTCTATGACCAATTTTGTAACATGTTGACAACATGCACACAGATACATACAGATAAGCACACAAAAAAACATAAAGGGAATCTGAAATAATAAAGACATCAACACACTGTACACACAAGCAGTGTGTCAACATGTACTATGTGTTATCTCACTGACACAGCTGTCACTGACCTACAGTTTTTCCCCTCAGTAGTCTGTACACTAAATAACCAGTGTGAAGAGGAGGTTGGACTGACCCCTGGAAAAATTAAATTTTATGCACATGCATATTTATTCTGTTATCTGTTTGGGTCCATGATCATCCTGTGATGTGTCCCACAGCTCACATACCTCACAACACACAAGAGGCTTAGAGAGGACAGCAGAGGGAGTGGGAAAGATGGGAGGCATAGATCATCTGGCTTTTTCCTACTTCCGATAGCCTAGGGGAAGCAGAGCAGTCAGAGTGAGTCAGTGAGAGAGAAAGTGTGATGTGAGTAAAGCAGCGAAAAGGAAAAGGAGTGAATGGGAAATAGAGAACAGAGGAACTTGTATCCAGGAAGGTATGTGATGTCAAGCTCTGTGCTCTCCTCAACTTGGGGACTTGCCTCTCATGGGACCAACCAGTCTTTGAATTATATTGCTGCCTTATCTGCCAACATGAACTCTGTCTGCCAAGAGAAGTGGGACAGGTACCTGATGCAAGTGAGCAACACAGATGACCCAAAATACGGTGACAGCAAACATGTCAGACAGGTCTAAATTAGTCAGCACAGAAAAAAAACCCTGTGCAACTTTGTTTGGGTCCATGTCTCTGTGTCTGCATGCAATAAAGTACATCATGTTCAGCAGAAGTAATGGCCATGCCATGAATGTGTCTGCATGTGTGTGATGCAGTGAGTGCTGTCATTAATCTGGGTGTAATCACTATATTCGTGTCCCTGTAGGGGTTGCTCTCTCCTCTAATCCATCTCTTTATCCCTGCATCTTTCTCATTACATCACACTGACCCTTGCACTGTGGCAGCCCCCAACAGCTGCCCTAGGCTGTTGCAAACAACAAACAGCACATGCAGTCAAGCAACGCACCATATTGACACCACATGAAAACAGAAAGCTACAACACAATACATGTGTTGATTCATGTGTCCGATACTGTGGTTTCACTCAAGAATCACTTACAAAAGCTCGACTATAAATACAGGGATATGAAATATGAATGCATGGAGCTCTACACTAATGCAGAGTATGAATTCCTCTATACTCATTGCTTAAGATCCCAAGAGTTTTTTTAGCTGCAGAAATGCATGTATTGAAAATGCAATAAGAAGGCATAAGCACCAGTATGTTGGCTGTTCCACTGGAGTGATTTGGATGCTGACTGAGCTGCTCTACACATCTAATCAATATGTCTACCCTGATAATCTCTCTCTCACTCTCTTTGTCTCTCTCTTGTGTATGTGTTGACCTAATGTTATTATTTGAACATGGAAAGTTGCATTTTATATTGATCATTTTCTTCGAAGTCAATAAAAAGAGAATCTCAAAAATGCTTTGGGGATGTTTATATGCTGTATCTACTGTCTGTCCTCAAAAAGGTCATTCTTTTTAAAATAATCTAGAAAATCCAAATCAATTATATAGAAAGAATTGCATGAAATTAGTTACTGTGCTACAAAAACTCCTTCATCTGCTTTTCTCTGATATAATGCCTCAGTCCTTCTTTTAAATGACAAACAGCTTAGTCATAGGAATCAAAAATAAACCCGATGACAACTGTGATATTTTGATGAAGATGAAACATATTGCTGCCCCCTCTGTAAGGAGATAAGAGATGAGCACAACGTTGAGTCAGCCAGGCCCCCCTGGACTCAACATTTAGAATCAGCTTTATTTGCTGAACATATACAGGGAATTCCGGATGTTGTAACAGCCAAGACAGAATTTCTTCCAAAGAAAAGGTTAGGATTTATATGACTGATCTAATTAAGAGTGTTAAGCAGATTTTTCAGCATTCATGACATTTTCAGAAACATTCTTCAAATCCTCTTACAGCACACTTTTACTTTGTATGTGATTAAATTAGATTTATCTCAAATGTCATAATCACTGATTATCTCCCCGCTTTACCTTTGCCCCCCAGTTCTTGCTACATGGATGACTACAGTGGACAAGACAAATCTCAAACACAATCTAATTTAGCAAATTTGCCTCGACAGTGCATAGAACGACATCATCGAGAATCCACATATGCAAATTATATCCTTGCAAATTGGTTATACTTCTATTTGCAGTACCACTCTGAGCTGACAGCATTTCATGATAACATGAAATGCTGTCAGCTAAGAAATTAATTCTCCCAATGGAATATTGCTATTACAAGGGTACTAGATAGCGTATACTTTGTCTCTTCGTCTGTGGTCTATTACAAAGTTATTTGACATTGAAAATAAAGATACTTTCAGTGGTGCTGCCTGTTTTTCCATATCTGAGGTGACTTATAAATTATGTCTCAGTATATGTAGGAAGAACATGTTTTCTAAAATAATTTTGTATGGTTGTTCATGTACAAGATTATGCAACATACAATAAGCAACATCATTGCTTTACTTACTGTTTGTTACCATGCAAAGAGAGTGTGTGATTTACCTTTCTGCTTTTCAGTGTAATATCCATTTTAGGCTACCTGTGAATCTGTCTGTCATCGCACTTTAGCACAAGTTTACATTTTTGTTATGGAGTCCTAGACTTTTATAATTTATGGGGTTCACATTTGAGTCATATCAGTTTCAAGTCATATACATTTTGTTCTCCTTTCATAGGCACTGTCATTTAATCCATGTAATAGATGGAAATGGGTCATATCACACTGGAGACTAGATACCAGCACTGTCAATAAATAAGATAGTATAGGCAATAGCAGAGTAAAAGCATACATGTGCATTGATTCTTTCTCCCCCACTTATAGGTGAATCAAACTCAAACTTATACATCTTACATCAACTGTGGTTTTATTGGATAGTGTTGTTCAAAACAGCTACATGCATATTATTATGTTGTTATACAAACTGCTGCAAGACACTGTTGTTGATGCAACCCATCCAGTTTATATTCAAGTGGGGGATTTGCCATATCCCAGTGTAGGAGTATGGCAGTTACACTTGAAGCTGAGCTGCATAAACTTGAAAAATGTTCTCAAAATGGACTGTTCAAACATTTTATGGGGCACTTTGTTTTTCCCAGTGACTACACCAGGCACCAATAACACAGCAATGTGTGTGCATTATGCTTGCAGGCAGCTGGGAGCCTGTGGTTGCTGGTGAATATTTGATGAGAGAATGGATCCTCTCCCTGGGCAGGTTGAGTACAGTGTGCATACTCAAATGCACATACAAGCACACACAGACAAGTACACACACACATATGTACACACACACACCAGGTGGCACAGTTTCTCTGCCGTTCCACAGTTACGCCAAGCAGGTGCCAGTGAAGGTGATATAAGAGCATA